ATTTTCATGCTGGGAATCAAGCTGATCTGAACTTTATATCCTCATCTGCTGTATGCTTAATTCTCGTCATTTTTAATTAACTGCAGATTTTCTTTGGTTTCACAACTTTATCTTTGGAGCAGACTCTTTGTACTCTTTACAGAAACAGTCTTTGGGTGTATGAATGGGGCTGGTGGGGGGTTTTGCACTGCTGGTAAGTAATGGTATTTTCTCTGCAGCAGGAACCACCATCAAGTGAGATGTAATATATGGTCTTCAATGACTGAGCGGGAGGAAGCAGTGTATTTCCAGCAATAAAACTGCAGGCATTAAGCTGTTAGAAGTTACAGGCAGCCTTGGCAACACAGACCTCATTACTGATGGGTAGAAAATGCAATCCAGTTGCAGCAGCTTGCAGAAAAAACAGCAGGGGAGATATTGCGAGGACCTGTACAGTATCCAACAGTTATGGAGAGCAGCCACAATGGCCAAGGATGGATATCAGGTCACACTGCAGAGACAATGATCCTTCTCACAGTGCAGCTAAGTCCTCCACTTAAAATGTTCATCAGGGCACCAAAGCACCAGAAAAGAGAGTGAGGATGAGAAAAACTTTTGGGGACATGCCAGAAGACCTCAAAAAACACAAAGATTTGGGATTCCAGGACAGGAGAGATTCTCAGAGTGTACTCTAGTCATGGGCCACAGTTCAGTTTGAGGATCTTAAGTATTTTCTGAGAGCTTATAAACAATTTGCATGAAAAAGTCAAAGGAAGTCCAGAAAGTAGGAAATGGAATCCAGGTTTTATAATAACATTTTTTCATTTTCTTCCATCCTTTCCTTTACTGTGGAGATGTTTGCTGAGGTGCTAAGATTTCTCCTGCTGAGGATGTGTATTTGTAGGAAGATACAAGAGCACCACAGACTGATTTTCTGACTTTCAGACTCCATAACACAAGTGGCAATTCAATAGGATTCCTTTTTAAACTTTTTATGGACTTCATTAAGGAATGCGAGCCATCTAAGCAAGCATATTACCAGCCTAACTTACTAGACTGTCACTAAAGCAATTAAAGATAGAATGATGTAAAGACCCAATTCAGAACACAATTAAGATTGAATCAGTAAATCAGTAATTTTAAATCACCACCTTGAGACCACAGATGATCATAACAAGTTATAAGGATGTTGCTAAACAAAATTACTGTATTAATATTGCCATGGGGGAATCTAAAGAATGAAATCCTTTCCAGGTGATGTCCCAGGCTCATCTTATTACAACAAACCCAGTGGTGATGAGCACAGGTATAGGTCTGTCAGCATTGCCCTGCAGCCCTCCCTGGCCATGCAGTGGCCAAGTGTAGGCATGGGCACAATGACTTCCAGGCACAAGTATTTGGACCCTGTGCGTCTATCTGTAGCCTGCTCAACTGTTCAGCCACAGTTGGGGATAAATGATCTCATTGCTCCATCCCTAGGTGTCCTGCTGATAAATCCTTCTATATTGCAGCTGTTGACTCTTTCTTGAAAGTCTTTCTTGTAGAGTGTCTTCCTTGGAAATCTCTGAAAGCTTCCTGGACATGATTCTGGCCAATATGTTCTGGGTGTTCCTGCTTGAGCAAAGGTTGCACCAAAAGGCATCCAGAGGTCCTTTCCAGTCTCTCAGGGATTTGTGATGTTTCTAAATCCCTGAAAAGCATATTAGAAATGATTGTATAAGTACTACAAGTACTTAGGGAGGGAGTTGGAAATCCTTCAACACAGGCTTCCACAGTGTTCATCAGTTGACTCAGCAGTGAATTCTGATGTTGACAGATTTTGCAACAGTGAAGTTAAATGTCTTAAGAATTTAGACAGTCAGTGAAGGAAACACCACTGGGATCCTTGGCTCTGAGTGAGTTCACAATTTTTCCAGTAGTGCAGAGGAGATGCTAAAGAACTGCTCAGGCTGATGAAGAGCCTCAGCTGATGATCATCTAGTTCCAATTAGTCCCTGCCATGGACAGGGACACTTTCTGGTAGAACAGGTTGATCAAAGTCCTGGCCTTGAATACTTCCAGGGATGGAAGGGCTGGGGTATCCAACACTTCTCTGGATAACCTGTTCCAGTGCCTCGCCACTCTGTCAGTAAAAAGTTTCTTTCTTGTATCTAATCTACATCTACTTTCAGTTTAAATCCATTATCCCACGTCATATTCCTAGAGCCCTGTCTTCCCATCTTTCTTGTAATGCTTCTTTATGTATTGGAAAACTGCAGTAAGGTCTCCTTGGAGCCTTCTTTACACTAAGCAATCCCAATTGTATAATATGATATGACATAAATTATTAATGTGGTACAACATATGTCATATCTCCAGAGTGTGTCCATCACATACCTGAATTGTCCTATTTATTGAGACAGAAGCTTATCCAGCAACTTCCATTGTAAATAACTAAATACAACTTTAGTCACACAGTTCTTCCCTGGAGCTGATCAAGGATTTGATTTACTTTGGTGCTGTTTCAAGCGGCACTGCATCAGTAAACAGGAAAGAAAGTTACATTCCAGGTGTTATTTTGAGCAAATGCAAACCTGAAATAGCTCAAGTATAAACATGGTATGTGTCTCTTCTGAATTGAGGATACCTAACCAGCTGGCCTTCAGCATAAGGAAGCATTTGTTTGAGATTATGAAGCATTTCTGGTCACTGCTAGACTGAAAGCTGAGGCAAGGATGTGAACAAAGCACTTGCTTCTGCCCTACAGAATGAAAATGAAAAACATACTAGAGCCTATACGGCGCCAAAGAAAGCATAAAGCTCATGAGTTAGATGGGAAGAACAATTTACCTCTCAACTCTATTATTATTATCAATTTCCTTAAACAAAACACTGCATGAAGAAGGTAAATGGATCATTAATTGACTGTAACTGTATCAGAATCTTGCAGTTACAAAAAAAAAAAAAAAAGAAAGAAAAGAAATAAAAAAGAAAAAAAAGAAGAAATGTGGAATTCAGGCTAAATAAACAGAGTTTGGACGTCAGGAATTTATCTCAGTATAATCCAGAAAACCCAAGTGCCAAACAATCTGGAAATACTCAGTTTTGCAGTGCTGAGGCAGATGGTCCTTCTTCCCGCTCCTTAGTTATCAAAAATGGTTATTATCACAGCAATTTATCTTTGTTTAGAGGCTCCACCATATTAAGGACATAAATATGCTGAGCAGGGCATGTACCCACAGCAAAGGGTATCAACCCTTTCCTCAAAGGATGTCCAGAGCTGAGAGGAAGTATAATGTGATGGGAACAGCATGAGTCCCTGTCACTACAGCAGCTCACTTGCCCTAGGATTGTTCTGGACAGTGCAAGTCCATATTCTGCTCTCATAGAGTCTCCAAAGGGATCTTTATGAGCCCATATCTGAACACATAGTTTTGTGCATGCACAGGTAAGCTGAGAGGTAAGTGTGTCCAGAAGGAGGAAATTCGATGTAGGGATAACTGGACAAAGGGTAAGGCCATCCACATTGCAAGGATGCACGCGCTGTGGCTGAAAACACTGTGTTGAATGTCTCCTCAGCATTACCCAACTTGGGGGGGATCCTGAACCATAGGGAATCCATCCCTGCTTGGTCTGGATGGTCTTCAAAGTTGGGCCTGTGCCCTGCAAAATTCCTTTTGACTGTGAATGAAGACATGCCCACAGCCATCAGAGCCGAAGTTACACTGAGGGACAATGCTGAAGAGCAAAGGAGTTGAGAAATGGGCTTAGTATAGCACAAAGGAAGATTGGTATATGTCATAAACCAGACACCCAGAGCATACCAACACTCAGAAAGCCTCCAAAATAGGGACAGACCCCTTCTCTTGGTTTGAACATAGCTGTGGATCTTGGAAAGGTCTCAAGCATAATGTTTTCTATAGCCCCATCTCTGTCATGTCTCCTTCTCTCTTCTCTGTACTGACATTTTATCTCATTTGATGCAAGCAGCCAAGAATTCACTGTAGCAACAGTGAAGAAAATAAACGAAAGTCAAGTAAATACTGACATGACATCAAGAGGCCTTCTTACAGCATCAGCATTTCAATGGTCCTGTCGTGATCTTCTGCCCTGTCTCACTGGGCACTAGAGAAAGCTTCATCCACACTACGTGACCATTGCGACTATAGAGGAAGCCATGATTTTAAACCTAAGATACAAGACATTTTTCCTAAGCTAAGATTTTCTTTTCATGATGAAATCTGGGGTAGGCCTAAAATAACATAAATCTGCTGAATTCAAGAGAAATCAGGAGAGCTGACTTCCATAGGTTGGAGTGTGGCTCTAAATATGGAGGGATGGTATTAGAGATGACTCAGGCTTGTGAGTCACACTGTGGGTGGGTCAATCTTGTCCAGCTTTCAAACAATCCTGTTAATACCAGCAATCAGAAGCAGTCAGATGATTCTACTTTCAGGTTTTCTAGTTTGAACACGGAGTCTTTCAACAGGATTTGCTGATCCTCCTGAAAATGTGAGTCTATCCCATTCCCTGTCACCATTTTTTTTAACATGGATATATTTTTCCGAAGATGTACCTTCCCATAAATCTCTTTTTCCAAAGCCCAGATGGCAGATTGTCTCGTCTTTCCTGTCGCAGTCCAGCATCCAATCCCAGTTCCATGGCCATAGTCACACACCACAGATTTGAAATAGTAATCACATGGGTTCTGGTGTTCGTTTCTTCCCTGGAAATGACTCTCACCACTACGTAAACCACAAGGACCTACTCAAGGGTGCACCTGTCTCTAACAAGTGCCTCTTCTTTGCACACAGATACTCTCAATCCCCAAGAGATACACGTCTCCCTATGTTGCCATCAGCATCAACTCCTACAGCAATTTCAGGAAAAAAAATGATGTCTGATGCACTCTTCTGATGCATTTTCTTAAGGAGTGAATTGGGGATGGAAAAAAAGTTTCACTGTCCACCTTTGGAAATCATCACATAAAACAGTCAGCCACCACAGAAATTATTTACTCCCTTTTGTGAACATAGGTTGAACACAGGAGACTCACGCACTCAAAAACATCACACTTCACATCAGGGAGATTAAACTGGATTTATTGGAGGAAAACAATCATCCCTTTAAATTCTCATTATGATAGAAATCTCGATATGTATACATGATTGTCAAGGCAGAGAACCACTTGCGACGTAGCCCCATTAACAATTTGCAGTATTGCAAACTCATTATGCAGATAAAACTTTTGCGATGCCTTAATACATGCATGGAGTAAATACACATTCTCCCTTCTTTTTGGACATGGATGCTGTTATGAACTTGTATCAATCACAAGACCTGCAATATTAGGCACACTGACATTCCTTGATTAAGATTTAAGCAGTTGTAGAAAACATGCTTGCATTTTCATTAAAAATCGGCCAAGAGATGTTTTGCAGTTGAAGATATTGGGGAGGCACTGCTCTGGACAGACTGGGCATCTTTTGGTTATTTGCTGACCCAAATAAAATATATATATTTAAAAAAGGCCCAAATTGACCAAAATGCTGCTTCTTAACTGGAGGTGAATGAGCAACGGGATGCTGACATTGTGCTGGAGAGAAATGTGAGTCACAGCTTATCTCCCACTGAGCCATGACCTTTCATGTTCTTCACTTTGAGGGTGAAGATATGGCTTGACCTGGTAAGAGACAGCATGCACAACAGCAGCTGGACTTGTGGAATGCAGATGAAAGATAGAAAAGCTTAGAGCTGCCCTGAGCATCTCCTATGATCTCCCACCCACTGGGAACCACAGCACACGTCCACTTCCTCATGGAGCCTCAAACCACATGCTGCCATAGCAACCTGATATGAGGTAACTTACAACTACTGCTCATGATGATTTTTACACTGTAGGCAGCTCCTTGGAGATGGCACCGCATGCAAGCTGGGCATCATCCTCAAAGGTAAGCTCAAGCCTTGGTTCTTTCAGGCACTGTGGAGTTGTCCGTGACTTAACTTCCAAGGAGGGCTACCTTCTCCCTGCATCACCAACACAGTGCTTTCTCTGAAGCTATTTGGCATGCCTGTATCAGAAGACCATTTATCAACCTTTCAAGGTGACTTTGTTTTGAGCTTTGAGAAGATGAACACCTTCCACATGAAAGCAGTGACTGTTGAGAAGCTGGGACCATTGACCTGCCAACTCGCAAAAAAGGACTGGACCAGGTGTGCTGAAAACACCACATGACCATCCTGTACACTGCTCTGCCATAGAAAGACCAGCACAAATGAAAATGGGTCAATGGTTGAGGTAAGAAAAGGCAAAGCTATGATTTCCATGTGGAGGAAGGAGAAGTACTGCTCCAAACTCCTCTGTGGATAAATAGTGGTGTTGCTACATGGAGATGTTGAAGGACTGAGTGCAAGGTGGTAATACTGGGGAAGGTTATTTGATAAGTGATGCTTTGGAAATGATGAGATAATTAGCTCAACTTGCTGCCTTAATTAGTTCAGGCAAACAATCACAGCATCTTGGTCCGCACAATGCAGCTCATTTTGCAACAGGCAAGAAAAAAAAATCTTATGGGAAGAGAAAAATACTAAGAATTGAGTAAATCAGCCAATGATTTGACTAAGAAAGAGGAACAAAAAAAACCCAACCCACAACCCTGAAGAGACACACTGACATACTTCTTGGCAGACCTGAGCATTGACAACCCAGGAAGGTATTTTAGATGCAGCTCAAACTTTTTGACATCATATTCAGAGGGACCCTCCCCGACTCCCTGTTTCTAGACGTGTGTACATGACTGCTGCATAGTTTTAAGCTCTGGATGGTGACTCTTCCTGTGCATGCTATGTACATGCAGAGCATTCCACAGAAAGACAAAATACATTATCAGGTTTTGCAGTATCTTGTTTACAAATATTGGCTTTTGCATTTACTCAAACTTAACAAGGGATTTCAAGTTACAGATACACCGAGTCATTTAAAAGCAAAACCTAGAAGAAACCCCTTGAAAAAAAGGCTGGATTGAATGTGCATGAAGAAAAGGCTCAGGAAATACAAAAGTAATGAACAGTAGTTTAATACATGCAGTGCAGTAACATGCATCTACTGGAGATTTTCCATTAGCTCAGCAGTGTTTTTTCACAGCGCTCATGAGCGTACATGCCCTGATTCCATGCTAGGGCATGGAAAAATGTAAGAGCCACTCTTCTGACCTTATAATTTATGAAGAGGAGGAAAAAAATAGCTAACTGGGCAGTGCTGTGGCCCATTTCAAGGTGGGGAAGGAGTCTCAAAAATCAGTCTGGATAAAGAGCCTTTATCCTTGGCTTTAAACACTATTTACACAGCTTTGACCCAACAGCACAAAGTCAGACCAAAAACCTGAACCAGCTCCTGGCTTCCCACCAGTGGGACCTGTGATCCCTGGGGCTGTAACATGCACACATGCACGTGCACAAGGATGGACAGGCAGGACTCAGTTTCAGGGAAGGGTGGTGGTGGGGGAAATGAAAGGGGCTGTGTAAAATTGCTGCTGGGCAAGAAGTTGGAGATGAGCAATGTACCAGGGGAAACTGCACAGTGCTTGTGAACAGGTTCCTCAACTGTTGCCAATTCATCCTCTGTGCTTGATTTTGATGCTGTTTTCCTTGGATGCAATCGTCTTTGTGTGTGTGTTTCTGCTCTTTGCTTGAATGAGTGCAATTCCTAGCATCAAGTTTCTAGTGCAAATAAGCGTGATAACGAAAGCAAAACTCCCTTCCCATGAATAATTTCAGGGATGCATTCAGGCTCCAGTTCAACCAGATAAACATGCATAGGAGCAAGAACAAAGGTAATCTCATTAAATGGGAACATCCACAGAAGATACCTTGGGGCTTAGTCTAGAAACTGATACTTTGCGGGTATATGAATCCTCCAAGTATTTTGAAGGAGAAAAAGCAACAGTCTACAGTCTGCATGAACTCACTGGCAAAATCGATCTGGTGTTTTTATGTAGGATTCACCTAGCACTGCTCAGACCTAGAGCTCTTACTCAGTGGGGAAGTTTTAGCAGAGCTTTTCCTATAGCTGATCTCCAAATTCTGAAGGACAATATCGACCTTTCTTGCTGATGGCTAAAAGCTGTCTGGCTTTATCTGGAAGCTTGTTTTGCTAAAAAAAGGGTCATGCTTAACAAGGGGCAGCCTTGGGGATGGCTGCAATTTTATCTCTTGAGCTCTGATCTGCAGAGGATATGGGGAAGGGGCTGTGCTGGCTCCTAGGGCTGACAAATGCTTTGGGCAAGCTCCAAAGCTCCTTGGGGCTAAGCAGGAAGAAGAACTGCTGATAGAAGAAATACTGTCAGTAGCCATGGAGGTATGCAGGGAACATGCACAGAGAAAAATCCATTTTCTAATGCCTACTGTAGAACTACATAAGGATGTCTACCAAGTGGGCAGATACTCCCTTCTGTGGCTCATTTCCCTATCATTGCATGGTTTTATTTCAGCACCACAACAGACACACAAGGAGTAGGTCAAATCCCATTTGTATTTTGGAGCCCACTACTCTAATGACACCTGTACAAAAGCAACCAGGACAAAAAAGACATCACCAGAGGGGTAACACAGTCTCAGGAAAGCATCGCTGCTATGTTTCCCTGTCCCCCTGCTCTCCCCATGCTGTGTGGTGGGGCCAGTGTCCACTCTGTGCTGCAGAAGGGGTGATCCAGCAGGAAGTTAGGATGCACTGGGAATGAAGTCGCATGCAAAATCAGCAGTGTAACCCCCTGCCACTGCAACACCGACTTTCATCTCGCAGAGTTCACGGGCAGCCTGTCCTCACACTTCTTCTGCAGGCTAAGGGCCAGCTGGAGGTTTTCTGTATTTTTAGGTATTTTTTTCCCAGCAAGAGCACTGCTGTTGGCATCAAAGATGGCCTCTGTGACTCTGGAGGTAAAAATCAACAATCAAAGCTGCAAGCAAAAAAAAAGAAGGGGAAGGAGCTCAGGAAAACCAGTTACAAATGAAAAACACATTGGTGCCAGTCAAGTAAAGCAGAAAAGAGTAACAGACAGGCCAGTCCAGGCTGAAGTCCTCATGCAAGGAGTAAATCACACCATGTTTAGTAGGACAGCCCATTGGGAAAGAGCCCAGAAGGATTTTTCTACCTGTTCTGCATGGCGAGATCTGGATTTGTTTTGAATCTTTTACTTTTGGGCTATCAGCCCCTTTCACACACGCATGCATACACTATTTACTGGATAGATGCTGGAACATTTGCTGTGCCAGTCTGCTGCCAAAGGACAAATGGCTGCAATCCCAACATTTCTTGTCTGGGTGCTGCTGTTATCCTGGTGAACAGATTTAAAGTCAGGTTTAAACTGAGAAGTTTTAACCGAGGGATACTTTGGGACTCAGTTTTGAGTATCACTATGCATTTGGCAAACCTGGTCAGGTCTCCAGCTCTGTTTTACTAATGCAAAAGAAGAGCTTCCCACCACCCAAAATTGTATCACACAAAAACAATTTTGCTTCTAAGTGCTCATGTTAAAATCCCAGTGCTTGATAACAAGCCTATGAGAATGATGATAACTTACATAACTACTCTAGAACGTTAGGTACAAAAACCCAATTGCATTTTTGGAAGGAAGAAATGTTCCTAGAGTAGAAAACAAAGAAAGCTCGACCATGGAGGGCCAGCTGGTGTGTGGGAACTCCACAACTGCAGGGTATGGGACAACACATCTGCTTTCACTCTCATCACTCATCTTTGGTTTGCAGGTGGATATCCATTTGCTTTTCTATTTTTCTTTCTTTCTTTTTTTTTTCTTTCTTTCCTTCCTGCAAGATACATTTGGATGCTGTATTTTGCATGATGGCTTCAGCAACTGCATTAAGTTCAAACCCCAGGTTTCAGAAGAGAACGTGAAGAGGAAGCACTGAGCCCCAACTGTCTTTGTCCGACCACAATTGGACAAAGACAAAAATGCTCTTTAACCAAATCCTGCTATTGGTTGCACAAGAGCGAATGCAGGGAACTCCACTGACTTCTAATCTTGGGACTGACCATCTACATACATAGAACTGAAACACAGTTGAATTCATGAAATCACGTGTGTTCAAAATAACTCAAATTTGTGTGATAGGAGTCTCTCTCCTAAACTAAGGCTTACTTACTCAGGCTGGCAAAATAAAGCAGACTTGGCAAGAGTGTAAATTCTATTTTACCAATTGGAAGGAGCAGAAGTACCTGGTGAGAATGGGCTTGGCATGACCTGCAGCAAGGACACCCTGTGCCATTAGGTCTGCCGAAATCTTGGTCAGAAGTCCTCAGAGGGGAAATTATATGGAGTTTTGATACCAGTATGTGTCAACTTTCCTAAAACATGGACACTGTGTCTTTCTGATTTTGCTGCAGCACCAGCAGACCAAGCATGCCCATGAATGATTATATGCAATCCAAAGGGCTTTGCTAATCCCTGCAGGCATTCATAGCTGTCCCAGACGTGGAGACTCACTCCCAGGCCTCTGAAAATGTAGAATACCTTAACAGAAAGGAAACTGGAGCCCTATCAAGTGCCACCAAAAGAGCTGCCTCTTCAAACAGGTTTGGTGCTCATTGCCACCTGCTTTTCCAGCATCTAGAACACAAAGTATGATAGATGAAATCCCAGCTCTGCTAATCAAAACCAACCAAGTGACGTTGAAGCAAGATTTTGAAGTCTCAATGATGAATAAGTATCTTATGGCTTTTCACAGCACAGTCACTACTGCCTGATACATTCAGTCTGTGACTGGCTTTCACAATTTTTTTTTCTGGATAAATGCAAACGTGGCAAATGAGCTTGTGCCTCTGGTAGAGGGTGGACCTGTCTGGGGTCACGTGAAGCAGTTGGATAAACGATGACAGATTTGCTCTTCTATTTCAAGGTGCTCCAATGCATGACCACACAACATCAATGTTGGCTGTTCCTAGATGATGCACCAGGATTTGCAGCCTGGAAAATGCATGAATTAAAAATAATTGAAATTGAGTTAACTTTTGTATACGAGCTTTAGAGAGGGGTGGAAGTATCACTCTTCTTCAACAAAGAGAAACTGAGATATGTAGAAATTAAATCCCAAACATTTTTGATCTGGTTCCTGATCCTCTTTTATGGCTGGTGACCCTGGCAGGTGCTGAGCATCAGCAACAGTGGACAAAGCTCCATGAAGCTGTGGGTGTTCAGCAGCTGTGGTGCAGGGAGCATGGGCTGGGTGTGCTCCCAGTACAAAGCCGGGCTGGGAGGCTGGGAATTAAATGTCCTCCACAAGGACGGCACAGTGAGTTGGTGGCAGAGGACAACTACTGCTCTGGGCCCCACATCTTCCTTTTCTTTTGCTCTGCGCAGAATGCACAGAGGAAGAGATTATCAAGGGGGAAATTGCTGGAGTATGAAACTCTGTTGTTTTGTTTGCTCAGCTCTGGTCTGCTCCTCAAAGGCACCATGTGCCGACTTCTCCTCTCAAACAAAGGTACCGCAGGCTCACAGCTCTGCAGGAATCAGGCTGGTGGCAACTGAGCTCTGCCCATGGCTTTCAAGGAGGAGGAGGGAAGGGAAAGCAGCAGTTTGAGCAGCAGCAGCTCTGCTGAAGCCTTGCAGACCAGTCTGAGGAGCGAGGAATGGCACGCCACTGCAATCCTCATGTGCTGCAAAGTTAACGCCAACTCCTACCTACCAAAACAGCATAATCCCCCACAAACTGGGAGGAGAGACATTACTGGAAGTACTTCTTAAAAGAAAAAATATATATATAATGCTCAGAAAAGTTATTCTATTTAAATAATCCAGTTGAGATGTTTGTAGTTAATGGAAAACAAAACGAAAACAAAAACCCAACAACATATACTGTTACCTACACTGAGAAAAGAGTAAATCACTGGGGATAAGAATGCGTGTTCATTAGTTAGAACATTGCTAGACTCACATATATATATATATATTTATATATATGTATATATATGTACAGCACCAGAGACTGTTAGATCCGTTCCCCCTGGAGTCCTTGCAGTTTGTGATAAATGAAGTATTTCAGAATTGCAGTATAAAATATGGCCATAAAAAAATCTTCTTTCTTCTAGTCCTTCGTCGAGTATGCGGGGCAGGGTGAGGGGTGGCTTGGAGGAATCCACAGCCCTATGCCTGCCTGCTCCTGGCCACCCGGACTCTCACTTGCTCCCTGTGTGCACTGTGGTCACTGTGGTGGGTCTGGGTCTCCGGTCCCCTCCTACCGCCGAAACGCCTGAAGAAGCAGATGAAACAAAACTACAGAGAGTGGATGGAGACATACCTAAAAGGAAAGCCAGAAACACAGTTAGAAATGTTAATTTTGGAGGGGATGTGGGCAAAGTTGCTTCTTGAGCAGGTGTTGTTTCCACTGCATGCTCCAGACAGGAGGGGACCACAGCTGGAGATGGTGCTCTTTCTGGGTACGTCCACAGGGATCTTCTGCCCTCCTGGCCCACAGCCACGGGCAGTTGCACACACATGCCACAATGAATAAACGTCTGGCTTCGCTATGTGTTCAGCCAGACCAAATCCACATTTCTGGGGCTGAAGACAAAGAGCTGTGGGATTAGAGAATCCCTCCAGCATTGTGTTTGCTCAAAGTAATTTTCCTCAAAGATGATTAAACTTCTCATCAAGGACGTCTAGCTAAATGAACAGACTGTGCACCTGGGCTAAAAACATTTCCCCAGGCATCTTGCAAAGCTACTGATAAAAAAGAATAGTGGGTCAAACTCACTGATGAGTTCCTTTAATTTTAGAGAAAATGTAAATCTGTGTGACTTGGACATCATTCCAACAGCACCTTATGCTGCTCCAGGCCCTGCTGATATGTCTCTGGGACTTCCAGTCAAGAGACAAAAATTGATATAGTAGAAGTATCTAGACACAATTTTTACCCAGCAGCTGCTTTTGAACTAATTAGAGACTTCTCACAGATACTTTTTTAACGAAAAGAATGAGATTTCAGCTAAGCAGAAAAGTTTATGGAATGTGTTCACTTCCAGTGAACCCTCCAGCACAGCTCTAAAAAACACAGCCCTCCCTGAAGAATGCAAAATGGGCTGAGCGTTGAACGACTGATTCTAGATTTTTCTATTCCAGCACAACCTTGGCTGTTCCAATGGAAAGCATTCATGACAAGCAATAAAATCTGTCCTCAACAGAGCCTTCCACTCAGGATGTGCCCCCCTCCCAGCATCTTTGCAGACTCTGCAGGGAGCTCCTTGGATTTTTTCATCCCACGGGGCTCAGTATCACTTAGAGCTGAATGGGACCCCAGCAGCACCGAGTGGCACCTAGCTCTGAAAAGATGTAGGCTTGATGGATGAGAAATACAGTTCATTCTTCCAGCCTGGTAAATAAAGTATGGATGAAAACTATATTAACATACCTCACTCTAGAGTCTGATATGGCCCCTTGGGTCTTTTTGATGCTTGTTATGACTTTTGCTTACTTTCCTATGCCTGAAGGTGATGTTTCAGCCTCAGGGATAACTATGCTGAGCCTACATTCAGCCGCATCCATTTCCTAGCAGTACTGGCATTTGACAGAGATCTAAACTCTATAATTAATCTAGGCAGCTCAATCACATCTAAAGAAAGTAAATCAGGCACAGAAGACTGGAAATCAGACCAGTGCATTGCAGAAATCCCAACTGATTCACCTAGTCAGGTAGTGTAACCCATCCTCATGTATCTTCTTGTTCTGGCCTAACACAGCAAAAGATTCAGGATGCAGCCTGACATAATCTTCTCTCAGGCTAGGGCTGTATTTAATTATCTTCAGTGATGTGAAATTGCTGCATTTGAAACTGTCCGGAGAGCTCATTAAACATACTACTAATAGCATTAGGCAGGATTGTATTTTATAATGGTATCACAGATGTTTCATGTAACTTGCTGCATGGGATCTTTTCTTTGCAAGAAATCTGGCCCCAGAGAAAATCACCGAGGGAGAAGGAGACAGGACAGAGATCTCCAAGGTCTCCTTCTTCCCAGCAGGAGGCATTTGGTGGACTGTATCAAGTACATCAGTTGCCTCTTAATGTCACTCCCTGCATTTGTTCCTTACTTTTCTCACCAGTTCCCTGGGGCTCCAATATCTCCTAACTCTTCTCTTTAGTAAATTTCTTTGAGAAAGGAAAGCTCTGGTATTTTCTGGCAAGCTCTTCTGTTGAATTTAACCTGGGATGCCTGGAAATGAATACTTCTCTGCCTTCTGTATCTGACATGAAAAAAAAAAATCACCAATCAATACATCTGGTTTTATCCTTCATCCCTCACCAGTTATGCCAGCAGAAGCTATAGACATAACAGAGTCTAATATGGAAGGAACCAAAATTAAGATGCATTTCTCCACTGAAAGGGTTTTCAACATTTTTGCATTGTCAGCATGTGTTTAAAGTGCTTTGCTACTGGTCAGTCCTTTGCAGATGCCAGAGGCATGCCAAGAGCACAGGGATGCTTTATGTTTTTGGCAGTAGCCGTAGGGTTTGGCACTGGGCAAAAATAAAAATCTCTATAGATGGACAGAAGGGAATAAAATAAATGCCCTGAAGTCAGAGATTAAATAGGCTTCATTGCAAAAGAAACATTTCTGCCTTCCAAGTGCTGCCTCCCCTGCCATGTCTTCTCTCCTGGCATTCAGAAAAAATACACACCCTGAGCATCTGACTCCTTTGTGCAGCCTGAATATCTCCACTGCTGCCTAGAACAAACAGGGCAGGGGCCAGGTCTTGTGGCAGCATGCAGAGCCTGAGCCCTTCTCATACAACTGAACCTCCTCGTGCAGGAGCTTCACCTGGCTCAAGTTGGGTTGGCCTGGAAGGATCAGGCTCTCTCTCATGGAAAATGAAAAGCAAGCAAATTTTTATGGGAAAGGAAAAAAAAAAGGTTTTATCTCAAAACTGGAAATGAAACATAAACAGGTCGACTAAGCTCTGCCAGCTTTCAGATAAATACACAGCTATTTGCTGAGCAGTCTCTGGGTCTTTTTCCCACCTGAAAGTCCTTATTCAGCATAAGAATGTTGCTCTCCCAAAAACCACACTGCTCAACTTTTCAGTGCATCAATTTTTCCAATAGAATCATTACATTTTGTCCAGCTAAACATGAGAGCCTCAGTCCATTTTCAGTCATTATTTTCAACATCTACTGGCAGCAAGGACTGCAGCCTGGGGGGCAGAGAGAAAATGCATTTCCCATAGATTTGATAGGACAAGGGGGAATGGTTCTAAACTGTGACAGGGGAGGTGTAGGTTAGATATTAGGAGGAAGTTTTTCACTCAGAGGGTGCTGATGCACTGGAACAGGTTGCCCAAGGAGGCTGTGGATGCCCCATCCCTGGATTCATTCAAGGCCAGGCTGGATGTGGCTCTGGGCAGCCTGGTCTGGTGGTTGGCGACCCTGCACACAGCAGGGGGTTGAAACTAGATGATCATTGTGGTCCTTTTCAACCCAGGCCATTCTGTGATGCTATGATTCTATGATAGATTTGCTCTCGTTACTCACAATCTTTCCGGGTGGTTGCATCAGGCAGTGGCGTGGCGAGGCTGAGTGTGCCTGAGACACTGGCACTTGTGTTGTCCAGGCTGCTGCCGAGGTGTAACCGCCGCATGTGTCGCACGACTGCTGTGGCGTTAAATGCTTGCTGGGGAGAGAAAAAAGAACAAAAAAAAAAAAGGAAAGAAAAATAAAAAGTTGGAGGTAAAAGGGCAATTTCTGCCCTTGTCTTGGTTACTCAACCAAGATGAGTCCATCGTTATCCCAGCTTTTCCTAATTCTTGTTTTCTAAGCTAGAAGTCCTGCTCCTTATCCTCATTCCTTCTAGCACTCAGCTAGGATGTGGCTGCCCACAAGGGAGGCTGTGCTGGACACATCCTTCCTTCCAGAGCTCACTGATGTCCCAGTCACTTCATGTCCTCTCCCCAAGGCTGACTCCATAACCTTATAACATATAATCACAGCTGGTGCTTTAGACCTGGTCCCATCTGTCACACTCGTGGATGCAGCACCCTCTATTAACAGCCCCATGAACCCATGTTACCTAAGATGGGACAAACTATAGTGCTCAAAATGTTGGACCACAAAAGCAGCTTTATATTGGAACATTATCATGCTGAAAAGGCTGTGCAGCTGCTGTGTTAGAAGAGTTAACACACCTAAGTGTCATCCCTGAAGATGGGTCACTTACTCTCCATTTGCTTTTTGCAAAGTTCTTCCGGATCTGAGCGCTGACAGACTCGTGGATGTTCTTGTTGAGTGCCGTATCACCTGCAATCCTGAAACAGGCAGACAAGACATATTTTAAGGCATCTTTTGTTCTCCTTGAATACACCTCCTCCTCAACTGATTTAAGTCTGGTCCTTATGGAATGAGTGTTCCTGCAGAGATGCCTCAAACTTCCCACCTCTGTCTCTGCTGGCAGCAGTGGTGGAAAATATGGAGCAACAAAAGCAAGCACAGATAAGGCTTGCAGGCCTGGCAGCTACAAAGAGGTACAACCTTATTTTGTTAGTGTGCGACTGCTTTCTATCACAATTACAGCCCTGGATGAAAATATCGTGCCTTTTCTTTTTTTTTCCCTTACATCTAAAGATTTAACATCAACAGGCTGAGACTACTTTTAGCCTCAACCATGCAGTCACTTCCAGAGCCACTCCAACCTGTCTGATTTTTATTTGCATTGGAGATTTTCCTGCCACACTCCAATGTACATAGCCATTTGTCATGATTAATGGAGATTTACAGTAAAGCAAATACTCTATGGACTCTTACTATATTAGCACTGCCTGCATAAATAGCTTAAGCTGAGCAACACTTGTCTGAGAAACTTCACTGATACTGTGAATTCTGCTTCTTGAGTAGGTAGTCACATCCATAGCTATTTCAAGATTTTGTTGATTTGTTTAACTCACCGAGGCACGAGCTCCCTTGGAAAAATAAGCACATTCATGAACTAATGTTAGGTCATGTGCTAGGGGTACAAATGCTACCTTGACGTAGATGAAGCCAGGAAGCAAAGACTGCCTCCTGTATTGTATGTGACATTTTCAGAAATCATTTTTTTAACCATGTTATAGAAGTGTTTTGTCCATTAGTAACAGAAAATGATAAGAAATCAAAAGAAATATATCAGACTCAGAGCCTCCCAGCCTGGGGACCTTCAATAACAGAATCGGAATCTGGGAGACACAGTGGTCATCTAGCCCATTCCCTACCCCAGCTATGTTGAAATTACTTGGACAGGTATTCAGCTAACCAATCCTGAAATATCTCCAAAAGCTGCAGACTCCTCAGACAACCTATTCCAGTGCCCCACTGTCTCTCAGAAGACATGGAAACTAGTTTATTCCTTTTGTCTTTGAAGCATCCTTTCACATATTTGAAGACTGATATCATGCCTTCTCTCCATCTTCTCTTTTCTAGACTAAACAAACTGATTCCTTCACTGTTTCCTCATAACTCATATTTTCTAATCCTCTGATCTAGTGAGCTTCTCTGGACTTTCTCCAACAAGCCCACATCTTCATTAGAGGGCGGTTCCCAAACTGTTCACTGTTTTCCAACTAAGGCAGCAGAATGGCAGCACTGCTTTGCTTACATACCCCAGCCTGCTGTTTCCATTTATGCATCTCATGAGTTGAAGACATTTCTTTCACTCTGTGCAGATCGTTTTGAATTGTAACTCTGTTCTTCAACGGATGTGTAGAAATTTCTACTTTCATGTCAATGGCGTGTGTAATTAGTGGATCAGCTTCCTCCAAACTACTCCCCTCTTTCCTGCTGGTAACATGTACCCGAGATGTGAGAGATGAGAGACACTACTTTTGGAAGGAAAATGGGGGACTAAAACTTTATCGCCCAAAAATGGAGAGGGTTGCAGCCTGTTGCAACTGACCTAATCTATAATGAGTTATTCAAGAGTACTGGAGCCAGCAGAAGTGTGATCAGGAAGGAGCAGGTTCTCATTGCCCACCTCCATCTGGGAGGAGCACTTTGCTGACTATCACTGCCACATCACTGCCATCTAAAGTAGGCAGAAGAACTGGTACCACAAACAAAACATGGCTCTCAAATGACATTTGACACCCCTTACTGGCCCCTGTCCTATTAGCAAAAAAGCAGAGGTTTTGAGAACTGGAAGACCTTCAGATCTTCCTCTGAGGAAGGCTCCTCCTGATCACTTCTCTCACTGGTAGAGAAGTCATTGTTCTTGATTTCCACTAGGTCCAGTCTGCTATAAGCATTTTGAGGCAGCATGTAGGACAGCTAAGCCTTTTGTTGCAGACGTTCTCCAGAAGAGTTTTGTAGTGGGAGAGCAAATTTCTAGCCAGAGTCACTCCAAAATGTCAGAAGCACTCTGCTCCACCCAAGAATACCTCCTCAGTGAAGGCACATGCCCTCAACATGCAATAGCTGGGAGCAGGGGCTGTCATAGCACAGATTTGCAGAAGAAAACCAAACCATTCAGCCAAACACTTCATATGAGAACAACTGCAAACCAAAGTGTCTGTTCAGTAACTGATCAAAAAGACCGAGCTGCAGAGACATTACTTACATTTGCAAAGAACGTTTTTTCCTCCCAGGCTAATGAAGTATTCTTCTTTATGAAGGAGCTTGTTAACAAGCTCTATGAGCACAGATCGCATTTCCCACTTGCCAAATTTCATTTTGGAAACATGGGCAGAACACGTTCCTAGGGGATGATACCCTCCCAGACCTTACTTATCATTCCTCACAAGGACTTGCAAATGCACTTCTGCTATACGAAAGTTTTCATCAGGCATGTAGCTCAAATACAGCCTATATATTCTTTCGAGCTTATGGATCATTTTGTGAAAAACATGGTAATTTCAGTAAGAAGCTGCTGGTCCCAGTAGTTCACAAACTGTATTCTAATACCACAAACTCTGTGTTGAACGTGCTATTCTGATAATCTTTGAAAAACAGCCTTAGTGCCTGGATATTTCCCAAATCAGAGTAACACTTGTTAACCTCACAATGGGAGGACAGACATCCTGTGAAGCTCTCAAGCACTGTATCAGTGGGGACCATTCTACATCTAAGGTCTCTCTAGCAGCATTTGCTTTTTTTATGTTCTAATTTTTTAAACAGCAGTACTGGGGCTAATTTAGCACAGCAGGAGATGTTCAAACACGTGCTGGAATGTTGAATGCTGTGGCCCAAAACACAGATCCAGATGCCAAAGCTGGCTGTGGGATTGTTCTCCATGAGGTCTCTGAAGAATCATTTTGTTAATAGTGCAATGTTGTAACATGAGGACTGTGCATTTATACTGCATTTTGCACTTGGAGAATCTTCAAACTTTTATAAAATACTCAGTGTTACAGTGTTTATAGTATAGTCTTACTTATAGGAAACTAAAATAAATGTTAACATTCTTCCTCTGGTGCTGGCTTGCTGAGTTGTAGTGGTTTAAGTATGCAGGCAAGTGAGGTGGGGATTAGCAGGTAGAAGTCCTGTCTTTTACACAGTCAACATGATGAGTTTTGGATACTCAAACTCACCCTAAGGTGGGTATTGTGAGCATCATCATATCTATACTGAAGCTCTTTAATCACAAACCTTAGTTCCCATGCTAAGATGATGCACGAAGTCTAATAAAGAGATTGTTTGTAGGGAATGCTATAATCTCCCTTCTACCTTTCTCTAACTCTCCATATCCAAAGGCTTTAAACCATCTTATCTTTTCTTTCACGACAGAGAGACTTTAATATTTTTTCTTCTTCCTTCATCACAGCATGAAAAGGAACCATGTTCTCTTTCAGAGATGGTCAACCTGATGCTTTTTTAGTCAAATTTGCAGTTAACATGGAAGTTAACTATGAGAGCATTGAAACTTGTTTGTTTTTACCAACTGTACCTGCTGACTCGGTAAAAGATATTACTTCTAGTTACCACACACACATAAGAAGAAAACTAAACAAACCCAAACAATGCACGATCTATTATCAAACTGAGCATCATCCCAGCACTGAGCAAGGAGTCACTACCCCAAGAGGTACCCGATTTTCTCTTGGGGCTCCTGTTCTGCAGCTACACCCGACTGCTCTTTGGGGAGCTTTGTGTTGAAGCTGTTCTTATATCCAAGTTGAATGTGTCAGCACAAGGAATTGGACACCAATGACAACAATCAGACTACTCTCCATCACAAATACCTCCACTGAAGATAACAAGACAGTGCTTATGAATACCATTGAAAATCTGGTCCTGCAGATAAGAGGAATCTCATCTAATGATCAGATATTATTTCATTGTATCCAATTTATTTTAGCTCTCTATCCAGTTTCAAAGCTATCACAGCAATTTCACTAGCCATAGCACTTCTAAGCTTTGAAAGTAGCCTCCAACAAAGAAAAAAACAGTGAGTTTATTTTTGGATGGTTCTTTGCACGGTGTGCAAGCATAGACCTCTTGAATGCCATGTCTCCCCTGCTCACGATGGCAGGCAGTCTTTCATCTAGCATTATTTTCTGAACCTTCCTACCCACTGAAGGCAGCCAACTTCAATGCTGTGCTGGCCAAGCAGTGCTTGGAAATGCTCTTGAGTATGATGACAGGAAATGCAGAGTTAGCTGTAATGGATAACACTGAAGGATCATAACTCTTCTGCACATACACATATACACACATGCATGTGTATAAACATGGATACACACATACAATGTCAGTGATGTTCCAAAATAAATAGAGTGTGGGGATGAACTCGATAAGAGTTTGATTTAATGTTGTAAACATCAGCAGTTCTCTTCAGGGAGCCCTTTTCACACTTCAAACAGCATTGTCAGAGAACTGAGCTCTTTGTAAACTGTGTCCTTTCCTTGGGTGGAAGTTATTATCTGGCTCATGCTCTCTGGCACATAATAAACACTCAGAGTCATGGTCATAATCTGCAGAGGCTCAGTCCTTGCCAAAGCTTTACAGTCTTCAGTGTAGGTGGGGATGGATATGTCAGCATGTCCCAGCTGTCCTCCTCCTTTCTCCATGGGCAGTGGGGAAGGGTGAAGGCCACGCTAACACAGGTGTCACAACATTTTAGGTGCCACAACCTTCTTCTCTCCTATACAGTTTATACAGGGAGGGGATACATACATCACCCTTCAATGCAGATGTTCCAAATTGCCTATGATGCCAGAACCAGCTTCAGCACACAGCTCTAAATCCCATTTAAGGTCACTTGGGAAATGCAGGACAAAGCAAATAAACTTATGACACCTGCTTCAGCTCGCACATCAACTTCTTAACTGTTAGACCCTCTCCTCTCCAACTGAGCACTCTTTTCTTTTCCTCCGTGCCCAGGCTGGAGACTGAATTTGGGGCCAGTCATGGGGCTGCAGAACCCAGCTCGACCCAATGGGGAGTGCAATGTGGTCCTACAGCTGAAAAAAAAACCAAGTTCTTGGGTTTCTGCTTCTCACCCTTAATTACTGCAGCCTGAGCTGCTGCCTTGAACAGGATGTGGGCCCTGACATGGCAGTATATTTAATACATTTAATTGCTGTCATTAATATGAGCTTGGGAAACATTAAGACGTATCAAGCTGCAGCAAAATTACCCTGCTCTTTTGTTACCTTCGTTTTCGTCATCCTTTCTGAAAAGTCACAATGGAATAATGAAGCGGAACATTGCACCTTTGCAACACATCATAAACAGTGAAAAGTTCAGTGAAAGATACTCTATAAAACAAATCATTTTTCCAATGGGAAGCATAAGTCACCTGTACATTAAACTGGAGAAATCTGTATAAATGCACAGATTGTATAGGTTAGGGTGTAATCATTATACCAACAAGTCTTACATATTGTACTGCTTCTGCTACCATATTTCACTGCAATTATTAGCCTCCTTTTCTGCCAGTTCCAAGTTTAACATACCGTCCTCCTGCCAAGGCCATTTGATTATAAATAGCAAAATATCACGTAAATGCAAGCATGTGGGGAGCAGATACAGCACAGAAAAATGGGCCATTGGGAAGAAGTATTTACTTTTTTTAGGGTCTGATCCTGTACAAACATTTAGTCATGTGAATAGGCGGCTATTCTTGAGCAGTTTCCCAAAATTCCAAGAGATTACTAACCTTAAAGGCAGAAATGTCATATTTTGAAAGATCCAGTTCTTGCAATTTACTTGTTTGAAAGTTTTTAATTAAAACATAGTAATTGAAATTAGTGGAATATTTTGGAACCAGCTTGTTCTTCCTAAGTATTATATAGTGAAACAACAGAGTCGCCCAACCAGGCAGCCATCCCATACATTGGTATATATTCTTATCACAATTAGATGATAATATATGCGTTAAGTATTCATGATTTGACAGATTTCTTTCTAACTTCTAGATGACCATAAAGATCTACCACTGCAGGAAAAAGTAGAAAGAAAAGACAAAGCTGGAAAATGTCATTACATAGAGCCACTTCACTGTTTATACTGCTCTGCTTCATCCTCTTCTCCAGCTAAGCCAGGAGATTTATGTACTTGCACTAGTTTTCATCATACACTGAAGACAATACTATGCAGACACTATGGAAGCTGAGTTTGCAACAGGGAGATATGCTGAAAAGATGAGAAGGTGGGATGGGATGTCCCTGTTGTAATAGTCATGGTAGTCTGTCTCTGTTGGCTAAATACTTGCACCCGTATCATAGAATCACAGCATCACAAAATGGCCTGGGTTGAAAATGATCATCAAGTTTCAACCCCCCTGCTACATGCAGGATCACCAACCACCAGACCAGGCTGCCCAGAGCCACATCCAGCCTGGCCTTGGATGGATGCCTCCAGCAACCACAAGGCAAAAGAACTCAAGTCTGGACTTGCTGGAAGCCTATGTCCGGGCTGTGGGAAGGACACATTTGACCATCAAGAAGAAGTACTGAGCTCCACTCTTCCTCCTCCACTGAAAAGACCTTCTCCTCCTTCAAAAGGGAGGCGAGGATGCCATTGCAATGGATATCATGGCTAGAATTAGAAAAGGAACGGTAAAAACTCATGATTTCCTGGCATAAGCAATCTGTGTGGAAAGTGCTTCTTGAGCAATGGCTTGGCAGAAGGAGATCCTAACTCTAGCTCTGAAATAACAGATAACATACGAGTGAGTGTCCTTGACTGTCCAAAACCGCAACTGTTTACCACTGCAGGATCCAAACCCTCCAAAAATCACTGCACCTCTCTCCAGAAAGGGCCATAACAGCAACATTTATGTTACAGGAAGGTTTTCAGAGCAAGGGGAAATAACACATTGAGTCATCTACTCAAGAACACAATGGGGAGGAGAGAGGCAGATCTGAAGTCATCTCTCTGGATATCTTCATGCACTGCTTTCACTGCACAACCCTCCTGCTCATTAAAACGCTGGCATGTAGTGCCATTGCCATCTGCTATGGTCTGCAGATCACATGGGGCAGAGGTGCATTTGGGATGGAGTGGGGATAACATGGTGAATATTTTAAGCTTCTCTGCTGCAGTGCCATTTGTACCTCAAAGAATGATGCAGGGGAGGCAGCCCTGCCAAAGAACCACTGCCCCGAGAAGTGAGACTGGCAAAGAAAGATCCCTGCCACAGAGATGGAAGAAATCCCTTTCTGGAGTTGGTTTTTCAAAGGAAGATTGTATTCGGTAGAAAATACCAAACATAATGGAGCAGTCTGTGAGTTTCCATCGGCTGCTGGCCATGACATGTCAAAAAAAAAAAAAAAAGAATAAAGAAAAATGAAAATACTTTTAATCATATTGAATCATTTTGTTCCTTTAAGAGGACCGAGAAGCTGTGTGTGTTACAAGTGCCACGTTTCTTTGTTGCACTCCAGCAACCAACACAGATGAAGCAGGGCCAAGAGCTGGATGCTTACACTTTGTGTATCTTGGATCTAAGGCTTTGGAAAATCTGCCTCTCAGTTATACAAATGGTCACCTCATTCTCTGCTGGGAGTTGCATTCCCATTGTTTATTCTGTATTTCTAATACTGGCTTTTGTAACTTCTTTAATTTCCTGAGGTTCAGGCTAGTATCATTTAGAAATATATATTTTTTCATCTCATAGGAGCTGGATTTCACTTGTCAGATTTCTTTTGTGTCACACAGGCAGGACTTACTGATGGGAAACACAATTACTGATGGGCTACTGGACGAAGGGCAGACCCAGGTGTTGACTTCTTCCCATCTCCCATTCACAGTAATGCCAGACACTGACTCAGCTAATAACCATCTGTAAAAAGTTCTTCACTGTCACAGAGAAGATGAAAAAAATCTTTTTTTTTTTTTTTTGATGATTTAAATTTCCTTCCTTCCATTCCAAACCTCTCCTACAACTTTTTAATTGTAAATCCCGAGCCTCAATCTTATCTTCAGCCTAATCTGATATCACAGCTGTCACACAGACATCAATACATCACTCCCACCATGAAGAAATCAGTGCCTACTTTTATGGTCTTAACTTACTACTGCTTCACAAGTGCCAAATTATTAATTAATGATAAGGGTAATTCATCAGTGTATTGGTAAAAAATAAGTAAGTCAGAATGGTATTTTTCCCTCTGTAAAAACCTTTAAAAGGATTTACCATCCATGCAGTCCCAGGAGTGGGAGCAGCAGTGAGGTGAGATCAAGTGGTTGTCAGAGAGAGGAGCATGAACACCTGCAGCTGAAACTACTCAGAAAAACACCAATAATATCTCTGCCTGTGCTTTTGCTAGCATGCTTTATACCCTCAGCTCCACTACTTGAGGCTGATCACTGGGCACAGATTGCATCACTGGGATGGTTTTAAGATCCATCAAGCTATTGAGCTAGCCAAAGTAGCTCAGTGGCTTTTCTGAGGGGCTAAGGACACTCAGGACAAAATTCTTTTCCATGAGAAATGCACAGCCTTAAGCTCTTATCCAGCCAGCACTCCAGAAACTGTGAAAGGAAATCGTATTTGTGGTAACTGTGATGACAAAAAGCACAGTCTACTGTGCACCTGGGGTGAAAACATCCTGTCGACTCCTTTCTGTTGCAGCTGTTGTAACAACCAACAGTAATATCTTGCCTCATATAAAATGACCTCTGGCATAGAAAACTTGTGTCTAAAAGCCCATTTCTGGGTGCAGCTGGTAGTGTAGGGTGGTGTTAAGCCACTCAGAGTTGATCAAAGGACATGAGCCATTCCCGTCAGCCTTATAATCCTTAGGTAACGTTGGTCATGTCATCCATGTGCAAAGGTATAACCTCATGTAAAGCACTTCGTGGAGGACTAAATTACATGCACAGGCAGTCCAAGTCCTGTAGTCACTGCAGAGAAGCTGGATTCTCTGCAGTGCCAATTGCTGGATCCAATGCAGTCTCAGCTTATCCCACTTTATGGTTTCCTGCTTCTTGCATTCAACAAGACAGGGCAAACAACATGCAAAACCAGGCCCTTACTGCAAGCACGAAGTGAAGATGTGGGCTATCATCTGTGAAGCACAGGAGAGGATTTCCTACTTCCTGAGGTGCTCTTAAATGATTTGATGTTACTTTGGCAATGACCTTAAGAGCAGGTTGATACCCATCTTTCTGTACACCTGCAGAATTTGATCTCCTGCCTCTAAATGTGTTTCCTGGGTGAGGTAATTTCAGTGCATCCCATTGCTGCACTCTGGTCAACATGATGCATTATTTCACTGAACCCTTACACAGATATTCAAAAGGTTGCTGTAAGAGATTAAAGTCCAGCATGTTTTTCCAGGAAAATCTGGAAGATAAAGGCAGGGGTTATTTAGTGGAGACTATTAAGCCACGTGGCATAAAAAATGTTTCCACCCGCGAACATTAAATGATATTTTTTGTCCAGAGTGTTTCACACAGAGGTGACTGTTGCTTACCAAGGGTGCCGTGCTGCTTGTTCACAGGTGTATCTTTTATTAGGGTCCTTCTCCATCAAATTCCGAATGAAGTCTTTAGCTATGAAGAAAAAAAGAATAAATAATAATAATTCAAAGCAATAGGTTTGATGCTCAGTTCTTCAGGATGTTCAGACTTTTGTTCCCAGGCATATCCAACAGCAAAGAAATCACTGAGAGGACTCCTCATAGCTATGGAACATGTTGCTCAGGTTATGTGAAGATATGTCTGAGCCTGCAAATGAAACAGTGTCAGGGTCTGCTGGGATAAGACAAGGGGAAATGGTTTCAAACTAAAAAAGGGGAGATTTATATTGGATATAAGGAAGAAGTTTTTTATGATAAGAGTGGTGAGACACTGGCACAGGTTGCCCAGAGGAGTGATGGATGTCCCATCCCTGGAAACTCTCAAAGTCTGGCTGGATGGCGCACTGTGCACCTGATCTAGCTGCAGAATGACCCCTATTCAGTGCAGGGGAGTTGGACTTTAAAGATTGATATCTAAAAAAATTAATCTTTAGAGGTCTTTTCCAACTCAAAAGTTTCTATGATTCTATGATGATGTTCACAACTGATGGAAGCCACCATTTACTTTTGTGAGTTGTCCCTGGTAAAACTGTCACGGAGATCAAGCAGCTCCTTTCCAGACATCTTTTGGGAGCTAGAATGGCCTGTTTTCTGTAAGCAGGATGCTTGCAGTTGCCTTGCTCTAAAGGCAAAAGTAGATTTAACATATGGACCAGGCCACCAAGTGCTACCAGAGCCAGAAAATGGCCCTAGCTCTTTTGTCATTTATTAATACAGACATAACCAAAATGACTCAGGATCGATCCAAACTATTTAATGTGGCGGGTACACTTAGAAGCAATGTGAATAATTTGGAGTGAGCAGAATTCAAGACTGCTAGCTCCGTGTTCCCTGGTCAGCCAAAAACTTCTGACTTCTGGTCTGAATATGTTCATATCTGTTAAAGATGTTGGTAAGTTGAAAGAGGAAATCAAAGAGAAGGTCAGCACTGCAGCAAGAGGAGACTTGCATTGCTCATTCCAAGCAACCATGCACGTGGGCAGTGGAGAGGATATATGGTGGATTCAAAAACAAGTTAGTGAGGAAAAGAGAGTCTCTTGGGCAAGAAATAGTGTTTGTGATTGGTGCTAGAGGACGTCGCAGCATGGTTTGTGTCAGGCAATTTCAGGAGAGAGCAGCTGAAGGGCCCAACGAAATCAAATACGGCAGGAAAATCTTTGTGCTTCTTTAGGTGATGGATTTTCTCCCTGGAAATGCAAAGGGGTCTGCCAGCAGACCTTCATATTTTCTCAGACAACTATTATGGGCTTAAAAAGAACCACTCATCACATATATTTTAAGCAATTCCACACAGTGATATCTAGACCACAGATGTTAGCAGCATGTAATGTTGTTTTATGAGGAGATAGCAGGACGTATAATTAACTTCAAAATAAAATATTTCTTTTTATGTCTTACTTGACTTAAAGCATTACTAAGTGTCATGGTTTTGTGATTTTTGGTTTTCGGTATTCCACATCATAACATCATGTTTTTGGCTTCCTTCAGCTATCAAACCAATCAAGCTATCATTACTAGGTTTGAAAGTTCATTTCTACAGAGCATGACCAAGAAGAAATCAGAACCATGCATTTCTAGAGATATTTTCATACGGTAAAATTTTCCTCAACTTTATTTTTCCCACTGTGTGAAATGGCAGGCATTTCCCCAGGTTGGACAGAGCAAGGAAACTGAGTTTGTGTGATCTCCTGAAGGACGCAGCCCAAGATTGGCTCCCACAGGGTGCAGTGCTGGCCATGCCTCCGCAGGTCCAGGCACTGGGTTAAATGTCTTCCCACTGGGTGAGGAACTGGGTGAGCAGAGGGGCAGCTATCTGGGACCAACCACATGGATAGCAGTCCCAGTTAGCAAATCTGATTATCATCTTCATTTAGAAGCTATTGATTTCACAGGATCACAGAATGGCCCGGGTTGGAAGGGACCTCAAGGATCGTGAATCTCCAACCCCCACCACAGGCTGGGCCACCAACCTCCACATTTAGTACTAGACCAGGATGCCCATCCAACCTGGCCCTGAGCACCTTCAGGGACAGGGGGAATTTCTTGTGTTGTGTTTCTTTTTGCTGCACTGCCTTCTCACTTTGGACCCATAGTACAGTTTTAGAAACAGAGCCAAACTAGATTTCTATTATCAGTGACACATATCTGAGGATATAGAGATGTTGAAGTAACCGCTCTTCTCAGGACAGTTTCTTGCTATCTTCACTTTTTATCCCAGACACATTGAATGTGTTCTGGATGAAATGTTACTTAATTTTCTCTCCTGAAAAAATAACTTTCTGTAATCACTTAGCTAAAAAAAAAAACCACACCCACATGCATTCCCAATGACTTTCAGTTTAAAGAAGGTCCACACACAACAGACGGTGCATTCTCACACATGATGGAAGATATCTACAACAGGCATTGCTGCATGCCTACTTGTGGTAAATAAATGAGTTTCTTACCAGACTCAGAGATGTCATCCCAATAGGGAGAGTCAAACTCATACTCTGCCTTGAGGATCTGCTCGAAGAGTTTGGAGTCATTTTCATCATAGAAAGGAGGATATCCACAGAGCCTAATAGAGAAGAAGATAATTGACACTTAGACCCATCTTTGCCAAGAAGGTGAGAAAGAAGAGGGAGGAGAAACTTGTTTAAGACTTGCCCCATTAGGTTTTCAAGCAAGCACTACCTTGCGAGCACTGTTCAGGAACATATTAAAAAACACTTCTGAAGTTCAGCATTGTCCTTCATAAACAGTAGTTCTTCAAGGAAACCTGGTGCAACTGATGCGACACCGACTTATACAGACATCCTGGCTCCTCTCTGTATGCTTTCATGTGTGTAGGCAGAAAAATAATTGCACGATACAGCCATGAGCCTTTCCATCCTCTCCTCTACATATGGTAAAGGGAGCTCTGATGGGATATAAAAGCAGCAGAGCCTGCACGAGCTGGACATTAACCTGCTGCTGCACCAGGAGAATCTCTCCTTTTCTCATTACTGCAAGTAATCTTGCTGGCCCCATCAAATTGCCTACCTTGCCTAAGGCTAGCAGCAGTCCTGGTCTTCAGCACTTTTAATTAGAAAACCAAGCCCCAAGACAAGGAGGACATTGAATGTTATTTGTGTACTTTGAACAAAAGAATTCAGGAAGAACCCTACCTCTGCTGTAGGGAGCAGGACATTGATTCTGTCAAAGCATGGCTCCTCCAACCCTGCAAATGCTGGGCATAGGAACCCCACCTCCAGCACTGCACTGAGGAAATGCAGCCACAAAGCTTGTGTTTCAGAGACTTCTGCCCGGGTGATGCTGCATGCTATAGCTTGTTTCTGTCTGGGCAGACATGTCTCCAAGAACATACCTTCTTCATTTTTAACACCAGTTTTGCAATATCAGATTTACTTCAGTGGCTAGTCCAAGGTTTTAGTAAACCCATCCTGCTCGCAGTTAGAGATGCCACGCTTTCTTGTCTTATCTCTACTTATAGTAAAAAAATTTTTTTTCACTTTCTTCCCTGATAGTGAAATCATCTTTTCTACTACACTTTTCTTAAACCCTGAGTCAGTCCACCTCAATAAAGTATTTATCTAGAGAGAGTCAGCTGTTACAAACAGACCAAAAATCTAGCTGAAACATTACACTGCAGCAAAAACAGAGCGAGGGGGGGAAAATTGTAAGAAATGAAATACTCAAGTTATTTATAACCTAAAGCCAGCCAGCTGCCCTGGAGGTTATTTGACCCAACTCAACACTTGAGGGTGAAAAGAGCAATGTTTTGTTAGCTCCAAAAAGTCAGTGTGCTTGATAAATAATTTAAATGGGGAGTGAGATGAGATGTTGATCTGCGTCAGATCCATATTGACCTGGAAGAATTCTTCTGAAATTTGCAGCATTGTAATGAATCCACTGTGGTTTGACACTATCTTTCAAAACAGATGAGACAATTCTCATTTGTTTCCCACTGGATGGCTGCCATTATCAGAAGCAAGCAAGATGACCTCATGCCAGACAAGAAATTACATTTGAAGTAGTGCCTACTTCAAATGTAATTTCTTCATACCTACTTCATACCTACCTGATGGGCATGTGTATAGGAATTGATGCAGCAATTCCTATAATACACATAGATTCCTATAATATACTGGAAATTACGTATGAAAAGGCCATTGGAAATGGTTTATCTAAATAAAAGCCCCTGAAGCTGCTATCCACATGGATAAAAGATTAAAACGGTGTGAAAGTGTTCAACGTGCAGAATGACTCCTCCAAAGGTGCTCAGAGCTGGTCCTCTGCTCCTCTTCCCTGGGGGATTCTGTAGGCTCCGTACAAGAAGCCTGACAGCCCTTCATTAACTTCTTGCCTTCCTCAGCACTTTCCTTAAAAGAAAATCAGACTGCTCTGATAAAAGCATTTGAAGGCGAGCAGACAGCGCTGTGCATGCCGAGGTGCCGTCAGGCTGCTCCACAGAGAGAAATAACTCTCTTAAAATGTACAGTGTGCTAATTACCTTGGCAAAGGTACAAGAGCACAAGTTAGGGCTGCGATGATTTATACATGCTTGTGGCAGCAAAACATAGGAGCAAAGCGCTGAGCAGCACAGAGCTGGAGGCTGTAGCACTGCCAGGGGCAGAGCCAAGCCATGCATGCCCCAGCAAGAGTTCCAGCCCTCTCAGAGCCTTCCACCTTCCCTACACACTTCCAGCTCATCCCAAGCTCCTCCAAGCCCTTCCCAAACTTCCATAAGTCTGGTCTGTGAATCTACATGTTTGGTTATCTACCTCTGGGATGTCCCCACAGCTTTCAGAAGAGGTCTTCCAGAAGGTGCTGAACCCCTTATCTCTGACACGATGAGCCCTATAATCACCCTTTGTGATTCACTCCCAGACTTCCAGCTCTTCAGTGATGAACGGAGAGAGCTTGAGAAGGGCTAGTTACTATTCCTAATTGTGGACAGGGGCATTCCTGCCTGAGAGCAGGCTGAGCACAGGGAAGGGTCCTGGCTCTGGTGAGGACGAGGGGACAAACACTGCACAAAGAGGGACCCAAGGGTATTCCTCCAGGAGACAAACCATTGAGGACATGGAAGAAAGAAGCCAGCTACTTAGGACTGAGGAGATGGCATGTGAGAGGAAAATACATGGGCGCTCTGCCAGAGGTATGGGGTGGGAGCCAAAATATAGGATGTCTTGCTGTCCTTTACTTTAAAACCAAGGTTTGGGAAGACACAGAAATTTTAGCATAACTTAGAGCCAGCTCTGGCTTTGCAGCAAAGGATGGGAAAGCCCCAGTAAATTAGCTTAATGTGCATTTATGGCTGGAAGAAGTTTTGCTGGACTTCCAACGACTGGGCCACCTTCCAAAGCTTATAATAAATTTGGTTTAATTCTGACAGAATCAAAATCCCACCAAGTTCATTTCCATCTGCTGGGACATTTCTGTGTGAAAAAAATGACCTCACTATCAGAGGTTCTGCTGCATTTCTTTAGATATACAAAGATACAAAAATAACCCTTCTGTTTTCAATGTGAAAGAACTCTGCATTGTCCTGGGGGAGTTTCAGTCAGCTATTACTTGTCATTATTTTCTTGTAGATTCACCAAATGAAAGCAATTATTTTTTTTTTTTAAATAATTATTTAGTAACTATATCACATCAGCAACAGATTTTCCCTTAACCTCCTATTCCCAGTCTTGTCTTTAAAAGGAATGGGATGTAAAGAAGACAAACACAGGTGGATGCACAAAAGAAAGACACTGCCAAAGGTCATCTCAAGAAGCCACAGTAGAACACAATAGGAATGCCAGACACGCCTTCTCAACAAGCAGAGCAAGCACATCCATGCAAGCTTCCATTGCATATTGTGGATGATACTAAAGCCTAAATGACCCATTTGCACAGTCAGTGTACAGTCTGCAACACTAGAAGCATGGGGTTAGTTTTACAAGCAATTTTTTAGTGAGATCAGGGCAAATAACTCAGTAAACGCTCAAAGATCTGAGACGTATGATGTGGAAAGTCACCCAAGTGCTGCTTTTATGGTTAGACACGTGTATTTTTTATTTTGAGAATAAATCTTCATGCTGGCCAATGCTAGTGCCCTCATGAAACTGTGGGCAAGGACATATTACCACGGGGAGTAAAAAATAAATTAAGAAGCAAGCAATGAAGAGAAATAATTTGAGGCTGTTTTCCCAGTCTTTGAATGTGGTATCCTGAGCAATCCAACATACCCATGTATGTTTTCTGTCCACTAATTCTCTTTCTAGTACCAAACAATTAAGTTATCACTCACTTTCCCAGTGAGACTGATGCTTGATGATGAGAGACCGAGATGCCTACCAATCTTTTCTCAATGCATGACTTCAGGACAACAGTAAAAACCTTTTCTGAAATATCAGACTGTGTACTGATCATGGCTAATTCTCTTATTCAGACACCTCAAACATGGGTGTATCCACATCTAATTGAAAATGAAAAGCAACACAGCAGCAAAAAAGTCCAGGAAAGAGTGTGATCCAAGATTTATCTCCACACATCCTTCCTTTATAAACAATATTAGCCAACTGGTAATTCACTTGTCCTATCAATGAACAGAGTGAGAAGAAAATCCACACCAAATTTTCTATTCATCCTAGTGCAGAAGAGATGGGATGTGTTGAGTATGAATAGATAGCAGCTAAGGCAAAGCTTTCTGTGGCCCCATGCTCTTTTCCAGCTTTGGAACATGTTTTCCTACTATTTCTTTGCATCAACTAACTTAACTTAATCTATATCAGGCATGCATGCAATCATTTTAGCTTCCCAGGCTTTATAACCTTTCATGTGACTCACGCAGATCCAAAATCCAGCTACTGGCAGTCCAGGGAGGTCTCCCACTCTTCTCATCTATTATGTTTTGAAGCTGAACAAATATCAAAGCTATCTTGTGATACGTAAAAAACTGAACTCAACAAGGAGGTTGTTTCAAACTGAGAAATATTGCAACTGGAATAACAGGAAATTTCAAGCTGCTAAAATTAGTTCTTGTGAATAATGACTTCTCATGCAAAACAGGTCTTGATAAAAACTGCTGCTGCAGTCTCTACAATCTGGATGTCATTAATGAGAAGCATTAGAAACTGGCACTGAAACAAAGGTATTCTTTCCTAAGACATCCTTCACCTTGTCTATTACAGAAACAAATAGTTGTCAAAAGCATCAGTGCCCCAGAAACAGTTTGTTCTTCCAGTGTCATAAACTGAAGGCTTTCATGTGAGTCTGGGCTTGTGTCTGGAGGCACTCAAGCCACTTATGGTAATAATAGCTCAAAACATCTTTAATATATGCTTGGCTTTCCCCATGTTCTCATCTTCTTACATGACAACAGTCTGTTCAGAGGGACTGTGAGAGTAGTGGGAGAGGTGTGGAGATGATGTAGGGTGTTGTGTTTGGATTGCCCTACGCATAAATACATCTTCACCTGGTTTGGTGGTGCAGCACTTGCAAGGTGACTAACCTAATATTAAACCTGTGCCCATCATTGTGGTGTCAGACACTCAAGAAGGGGTATTTCCTTCCTCATTAGGGAAGAACCTCTGTTTTTCTCTATGTTCAGTGCTCCCCTGAAATTCATTTTCCAATAAGGGCACATCTATTGCTTCTTGGCTATTCCTAGAAGAAAAGGGAGATCCAGTTCAAGATTAGGACATGTAAGTGTGGGCTGGGTTCCTAAGCTCCCATTACAGTCACCATGACTCATGTCAATGAGGAATAATGCAAATGCACTATTAAAGCAAATGAAATTGTTCCATGAAGGCGGAGGGCTGGGGATGGGTAAGGGAGTGATTCAGTGCCCTCAGCACAAGCATCTGGTGCTGTCCCACATGGTCCACTGTATCCTGCTTGGCCTCCATCTGCCACTCCAGAAGAAAGATCTCAGCACTGTGATTTCATCTGCCAAATCCATGTGGCTGTCCTGGAGCCACCCCACTGTGGCTCTAAATGCATATTTTAGGCAACTGAACATCACGTTCTGATGAAGCGACTGTTTGCATCAACACAGTCTGGGATGAGGTGCCCAAATGTAGAGTCCAGCATCAGAGAAGAAGCTCTGGAACTCTCATGTCACTGAAGCACAGGAAACACCTGTGCCTGGCTAGCAGTACAGCACAGGGCTGTGGAGATTGGATCAGTGGCAATAGCAGCTTGAGTCCAAGTGGGATTCTGTGGATGGCTCAGATTATCACTAAGCATCTCTGTGAAGGTAGCTGACATGGGTCCTGGAGTGCTGCTGATTCTACCGGGAGCTGGAAGAGGTAACTTGCATGCAGAAACATTCCAGGAGGTAGTTTGATCTCAGACCTAATTCCACCCGAGCAGTCTGAGTTACAGACTGTGAACACATTACAGCACTGGTATGGTAACACATCATTGCCATTCATTTTGACTGTACATAATGCAGGACCTCATTACATGAAGCACTGAAACCCTGAAAAGGTTTCCTTGTCCTGCAAATAGGAATTCACAGGGAATGAGCTGATTTAAGCCTTCAGGGCTGAGAATTCCCTGTAAAGCAAATGCAAAATTGTCTGAAAAGCCCAACATGCGTTGATTTTGAAAACAGAGCAAGAAATAACTGAGGTGGATCTGATAGAAAGAGCAGCCTCACATGGTTTATAGAAAAGATTAAAACCTTTCCCTTACTGAAGATGTTTTCTTTAGCAGGGCTGAAGTTTGCTTAGTGCTGTCTCATTCCACACCAAAACACATTAAAAGCAGTAAATGAAATCACATCAGGTCTGCCAATAGCAAAAACCTTTGGTCCATGAACTATAGTTGAATGGGACTGAAAGGAAGGACTTGGAGGAAAGATTTATCTAGTCCCCCCATCCTGCAGGCTGTCAGATGGACGCATATTTTCGTAGTGAATATATGACATTCAACTGAACCTGGGCAGTAGTCAGGCCTGGAAGTGAGGCAGAGTAGAGTACTGCCTACTGTCTTCCACCTGCATCCTCCTCTCTCTACATTTTGAAGCTGGTACTCAGCAAAGAACTATGAAAGCAAAAGGAACAACTCTATCTGACTGTCCACTAAAGGAGGATGAAAAACACCAAGAAAATATCTAGGTCTCCCATTTTCAGGTTTGCTTGTGCAAGATGGCTAGTTTGGGTGAACACACTCCACCCTAATCTAAAAGAGCATTAGGAAGTGATGTATGAAGCAATCTCTGAGCTATTTTGGCATGTCTGGCCCCTTCCTTGCTGCTGTCTGGCTGCTTCTTTGCCCCTGCTGGGTTTTGACAAAAAGTCAGTGTCAGCAATGTTGATTTTTGCTTTGTTATGCAAAAGTTTTTTGAACCCATCTGCTGATGGTCGCTCCAGGTTAAATCCATCCCCCTGCAAAGTTTTGCACTCAAGTTGTTTTCAAATATTCATGTAAAATGGCAAAGCCATCCATAAGGCTGATGTTTGTAGGCAGGGCTTTACTTTAAATAGAAAAACATACAAGCAAATAAACAAAGTGTTCTCATACTATTTTATATATAAAAGCTATTTTGTTTAAGAATAAATGAAATTGTAAAGAATGAATATTGCACAGAGTGGATAACAGAGCAAAGAGGTGTGTCCTGGCACAATTGCACCTACTACATCAAAAAGTTATTCATGTTGACAGGCCATGAAATGTTTGCACAAGGAGAAAGGAAACAAAACAGGAATGCTTTAATGCTGCGCTCTCGTTGAAGTTGTTATTTTTTTTCCTTCAGCTTTGTATAACTCTGACAGCTGTAAAAAATTAAATGCAAAAATAAAAAATAAGAAAGCAATGACAATTCTGGTATGAACAGGACAGGAATGGAATAAGCTCATCTTCTCCTATGGGACCAGAAGGTTGGAGATGCTAGAGGTGTTAAAGAAAATGATCCACCATTTTCAGTAGAAATCTCATTTTATATTGAGCTTTGGTGAAAATAATTCATTATAGTATGTAAAAAGCTCTTGTTCCTTTGACTACCTTCTCAAGGAAAGAAGTGCCATTGGTACTTCACTGAGGTCCTTTCCAATCCAAGCCATTCTGTGATTCTATGATACTTCAGGATACACCTATAGGCATGATGCTGTGCCTTCTGGACATGGTCAAACTTGCTTCTGGTCAAAGCTAACCTGAGCAGATGAGGGAATAGCTTCACTAATACCACGGTCTGAAGAAGTCCATACTACTGTACAACATGCAATTCAGTCAGGAGCAGGGATTTTCACTTTTTGAAGGGTTCTGGTTCATTTACTATTGCTTCTGCCCAATTTTTAGCCTTCATGTAACTAGGAGGTATCCAAAGTCCATTTTATCTTGGCTCACAAGCATCAGAGATGAATTTTCTTGGACCGTACAAAGAGGCTGAATATATGGTGGAAGAATATATTGCGGGTCCAAAAGCTGCCTGTGATTGAAAACCCAGTGGATACTCACAGGATATATGCGATGACCCCGATGGACCAGCAGTCCACAGCTTTGCTGTAGGGTTTCTGGGCCAACACTTCAGGAGCTGAAATAAAAAAGCCAAAAAAGCACAAGTTACAAGACCAACCATTGGAATGTTGTTAAGTAGGAGTTGATAGTGCTCCCTGAAACCTGAAGTTCTTTGTCATCTTCTACGTTAAACCCTCACTTTTTAAAAAATTCTGATGTTTTTGAAGCTCTTATCCTCAAAAAGAAGTAGGACTCCTGAAGGGGAACAAATTCCCTATTTTTGCCACCAAAGAAAGAAATGAAAAACAAAGACAGAAAAACACTTGCTTCCCAGAGGAAGTTTAGGACATTTGGGGCTGAGCTTTGGAGCAGTGCCCTTTCACCCTGGCAGCTCCACTGTCTTACTCTGCCAAATGAGGGACTTCAAGAGACAACTTAGAAAGTATGAAGTGTCAGGGAAGTGATAAGCTAGGTCTGCAGGAGAGGAAGGAGAGCTGTCACCATGCCACCACCTGCTGACTAATGAAGCCTCCTGAGTGTACGAGTAAGAGGGGGTCATTTGTCCTCCTGCCTCTTAGAGTACAAAACAAAAAGCAGCACGAACTGGACACAAATAAATAGAGCCCCCTCTGTTTCTTCATTGCTTTCCACTACTATTGCTTGAACTTTGCTAGAAGTGACAGTACGGCCATTTACTGGAACTCTTTGTGAGTCTGCTTTCCTCTCTTAAACCACTGAAAGCTGAAAAGGCACTTTTTAATTTTTATTTGGGTTCCTGAACTATTACGCTTTCCCTGTTTGGACCTTTCAGTTGAAAATGCATAAAGCCAATTTTTAAAAACCCATGACTCTAATCTTTCTCATGTAAAGAAGCTTTAGCGTGTTCAAAGCATTTTCAAAGCAAAATGTCCACAATAATGCAACAAATCACCATTTGTTGGTGATTGGCATTCCTAAAGCAGACTCACCACACGGGGTCTTCAAAAGCACAGTATTTCCTCTGAATACTCTAGAGTTCAAATGCTCCAAAAAAAAAAAAAAAAAAAAAAAAAAAAGAGACCAAACCAAACCAAAAAAACCCCTAAAGCAGCAGAGGCTAAATACTAGCAAAAATAATTCTTTGGTATCACACCTTACTGTGTTAGGAGTCTTACCAGCCACAAATTAGTTATTTATAGAACAAAGAAGAAAACTTTGAAGAACATAAATATATTAAAGCTCAAGCCTCACACTTATTTGCTGTATAAGCTTTTGGTGTATTGGCAGGAACTCTTCTAAGAGCGGTCTTCCTAAGCTAGACAAGTCAGTAAAACTAAGGTCAAAAGTGCCAGCAAGGAATGGAGCAGGAGGCACTAATGAGAAACTGAAAAGTCTTTCTGTGTTTGGGCATGGGAGCTTAAAGAAGAGACTAACAGGAAGACAGTGCACAAAGCAGATGAGAGAGGGCATCCAGGTTGCATTTCCAAAAGTAGCAGAAGGACAGAACGGGTCAAGTCACTGGGTAGACATTGCAGAAAGGAAAAAAATTCAAGGGAACATAGGTAAAGGTATAGCTGGTAGGGGGATTACAAAGGCTTTTGAGGATGGGTTTGCCTTAGTCTGCAGCATGAGGTGAAGGTAACCCCAATCTTTGAGTCACCTTATAAACTGGAACTCCTGCATGCAGAAGAAATTTCCCAAGGAGGCTGTGGATGCCCCAGTCCTGAAGGCATTCAAGGCCAGGCTGGATGTGGCTCTGGGCAGCCTGGTCTGGTGGTTGGCGACCCTGCACATAGCAGGGAGGTTGAAACTAGATGATCATTATGGTCCTTTTCAACCCAGGCCATTCTATGATTCTGTTTTCTTTCTATTCACATGTTGTTCATCATCATTCAATGCTGCTATGTGTGAATATTACAATAGCTATCTACTGGCATGCCAAAAGATGTTTCTCTCCACTCTGCACCTAGCATGAAGCTCTCCTGACCTGGCAACATGTGTTTTGCAGAAATCTGCATCCCAATTCCTGAGAAGTCCCTGACTCCTTCCAGGACACTGAAATACTGCTGTAGCCTATGAGGACAAAGGACGAAATGTTCTTACTACAAAAGGAGATGAAGCTGTGCAACAAATAGGATTTGTAGGACTCAGTTTCCCTTTTTGTCCCAACTCTTGTGACTGAGTTTTGTGAGAAAGCATGATGAAAAGGGATGTTTGTTTTCCCCTGTGCTTTGGTGGTTAGATGTCTCCGATTTCTAAATTTTCAAAATTCTATTCACATATCTCTTCTTCCTTTGATTGTCAGTTCCAGTTTGTAGCATTTTCAAGATTGGTAAACATTATACACTGCATATTCCCCGAAGGAAATATTATGCAAATTGCTCCTGAACACCACAGATACAAGTGAGCTCCTGACGTTATACAGATATGCCACATTAACATAATAGAAAACAAATCTGAGATGAGGGGATGTGAACTAAATATTCTCTCTCTTAAACATCAAAGCTGTGCTGGAGTATTTCTTTCTGCTTTACAGGAGAGCAAAGCACTGATAACAGGCAATTGATGCTATGGACAGTGGCTGTGAAGCAGGTAAGGACACTGCAGGATCAAGCCAAATCAAATACGAGTCTATCACCTCACCTTTGGTAAACTTTAATGAAGGAAGGCAGGAGCTTTAGATAACTATTTTATGGCCAAAGGGCTGTTTTTGTGTTTTGCTCCAAAAAGCAAACAAGCAATGGAAGCATAAGCCAAGCATCATATGTCTGTGATATACAAAAAAGATGGAAATATTTAATGAGCTGAAAAACAAGTCAGAGGAATCCTTAGAAATGACAACAGATCAATGCCTGAGAAAGCAGGAGACAATGCAAAAGAAAAACAAGAGCTGATGGTGTTAAAGGATCAACACAGTTGACTTAAGAGGCAAAACAGCAGCAAGGAGAATGGAAAAGTCAAAACTCCCATTTCTGTTGCCAGGAAAAGATGTCTGAGCAGAAAGAAAAATGTATTCAGATCTCTCTTTCTGAACCTTGAAGCCAAAGCAATTGGAAGGATAAGAAAACCAGTCCTCAATGAGTTATATCTTTCTTTGGGTAATGAAGACACTTCACTTCCAGTGCAGATAATCTGCTGACTAACTGATAGGGTGCTTATTTGTTTTTTAGTAAGATAAAAATTGAAGGGCTTATTTGAAATGGAGGGTTTAAGAAAGAGTTCAGTATAAAAACATTTGGAAACCTTTCAGAGCACAATGCCATTACCCCCAGTGGGCGCAGCTCCCGATAAGCTCCCTAAAAATGCAGCTGCTGGATGCCAAACCCAGCAATTCATGTTCTTGCAAAGAGCTCAGCTGATGCGGATTGCTCTGGTAGTTTAAGCCTGTTGAAGTCATGAGGGTGCCTGCCCTTCATTCCAGTCTCATACTTAAAAGTGGTTCTCCTTCACTCTCATGATGTTACTACTCCCACCAGATTTTGCTGTCTCACAGAAACTCAGTCTAATGTTATTTTCTGTGGTTTACATGGCTTCCCATGTATGGCACACCAGAAGGAATGATGCATTTGATCAAAGGGTGATGGTTTTGATGACTTCCCAGAGGACTGACAAGTCAGGAGGGACTTGTAAATGTGGGAGGAATAAAAATATCTGAATACAGTTAAAATAATCAGGGACCTACTTACACTGGGTAGGGAAACAACTCAGCTGTCCCAGCAAACTATCCTTGCAAAACCCAGGTCTAGTTGTTCAGCTAGTAACTACTCAGGGCCATGTAGACAGGTCTCTCAAGGAAAGATGGGGAAATGTGAAAGAGTTGTGCTGGTGCAAGATGCTCATGAAATTCAAAATGAAAGGTGAGTAATGGGCAAGGTTTCTAAGAGACACCAAAGGGACGTGGTGTTAGACCTGCTGCTTAAGACTCTTGAGGGTACCACCTCGAGAGGATGGACAGAAAGGAACTTCACACCACTAAGTAGATGCTTGATTGCTCTAAGAACCTACCCAAAGATGGTGCAAGAGCAGTGTGAGCTCTGCTGCCATCATAAAAAATGTCTTCTTCACAGAGCAAACAGGCTGAGACACACAAAGCAGCTTCATCACAAGCTAGAAGCCTGTCTTTTCCACTGACTCCTGAGATGAAAACCACTTGTCTCCCTCTCTCACACAGTCTTCCAGTGTTCCAATTGTTCTGGTTGGCCAAGACTTTGCAGTTTAGTACCGTTTTGTAAGGACAGCAGTGTTTTGGTGTAGCCCTGCTGGTTTCTTTAGGTCCACTTGTCCACATGTCATGTTTCTGAGACAGATGTAAGTAGCCTTCATGGGATATAACACAGCTACATCCCCAGCCTAGCAGAGTCCATTTCCTGGACTTGAGTGACTGCACTGTCACCAGCCTGTGCCTGGATCAGAGTAATTCCCATGCTTTATTTTTACTTTATTACTCATGTTACTGCCTAAACAACTCCTGGGGTTGCTCTTTGCTAATAAGGATATTCCAAAGGCTTATTGAATATTTTCAAACATTTTGCTCAAAGAACACCAAGTAAAGTCAAAAGTAAACGTGGAAATCTATTGTTTACTTAAGTGTCTCAGTCTTGCACGGGGCTAAGAGAAACACATGGCTTTGATAAGATCTGGACTTTCTATTGGATTTCTGGCAGAGCTGAAAGGTGTGAGATGAGCTTTTCTAAAGTCACTACAGAGAATAAAACCAGTAAGTGATGTGAGGTGTTCAGGGATCAGCCACAAACCCAGGGTCCAGCCCAATCCTTAAGACAGAGAAATACAACAACATTTTATTTGAAGTTGCTTTGGGCCCCAAACAAGAATTTTAAATCTCAGTAGGATTAAGATATTAGCCAGCCACAAACACAGTTAATAATTCAGTGTCTCTGCAAATGGAGATCAGATTGCTGAGACAGACTTTCCAACGTATTTTTCAAACTTTCCAGTTTTTGTAAGCATCTTGTGAGTCTAAGTCCCATCTGCAGAAGTAACCAAAGCTTTTGAGAGATCAAATCTCACAGAAAGTCAATCAGCAAGACCTAGTTTCCAAGCAGCCAAAATCTCTTCAGAGGAATTTGTTGAGTGACTGGAGAGTCACTCACTGAGTGCCCAACTTGACACACCTCAATGACAACTCATTTTCATGCAGTTTTGAACACCTCCTCCATCAAAACCAAGCTTTTATAAACATCTGTGATGTTTAAATCAACATTTCACTAATGGCTTACACAGATCTTGCCCATAATCCCATAGATCATTCAGAGAATTTGGAAAACACTTCTTCTCCAGTCTAGAAGATGGGTGGGATCCATGCAAACCAATCCACACACCTAATTTACAAAGAGTTAATTCACACAAGCCAACTTATTTTACCTCATTTATGTTGTTATCTAGAAGTTGGGTATCTAGTCCCAGCTCATCACCTGGACTCTCTTTACAGGAAATGGAAGGAGATAAGAGTGGAAAGCAGATAAGAAAATGGAAGATCATTTCATTAGAAAAGGCTGTGTTATCAGACCTTCTTATCTTACTTATAAGTAAATGTTCGGATTTGTATCTTAATAGAAGTACCCCCAGCTAAATCGGGTGAAAATATTCTGACAGTCATCTTTTCAGCACAGGACCAAAATCTTTGACAAGACTCCTGAAATAATAAGGTCTCTGAACTGTTGACAGTAATTTAATCTGTAAAGCAGAGCCTTTAAAGCCAAGCCAATGTGCTCATGCGTTACTAGCTATGCACAATTTAGACATCCACCAATTCAATAAGTAACAATTTGCTTTTCAGAAAGAAAGCTGATATTTCTGAAGACGCTAAATTATAACTTTACCTTCCTCTATTTGCTGAACTTCTGAACCACATAGACAGGAATTTGGCGTCTTAGATACTATCATTCTTTAGAGCTAAAACTAAAAAAATTGACTAAACTAAAAATTGAATCATGGAGAGATGGAAGTATATATTATTCGTGGAAATTAGGCAGAAATGGCATGGGGCCTTGCATATTTGCAAATATGAGGGACAGCAAACCTGAGTTAAGATCAAGTCTGGTGCAAAGTCAGAAGCTCGTGGAGCACTTTGCATAATGGGATCTGACTGGATCCATTTCAGGAGATGAAGTATAAAGAGTAGCTGACATTAAAGGTTTCTTAACTGAGTTCTGGTGCCTTTGGCATGTGATATTTGCCTATTTTTTCCTAGAAATTTAAAAGCAAAGTTAAACTGACAAGAAGTATTAATTTCTCATTGAATCTTAAGAAATGGGATGTTCTATTTATCTTTAAAGAAAACTGTCAGAAAATAAGTTGTAAGCTGAGAATCCTCGAGTGTTATTTTGAAGCTGATTAAAATAGCTAGAAGAAAAAACAAAAAGACTTGGTAAAAAGGTGTGGAGGTTGATTGTATTCATGTTGTGCCAGTAGAGGAAAGATCTGTTGCATTTACTGAGGGCACTGGAGTGAGACTGAAAGGCATGAAAGCTTTTAGATGCAGACAAATTGCAGAATATGTATGCAGAAGACATGTAATTGGGTGTAACACTAACAGAGGACCATTTGTCAGCATTATTGCGAGGAATGGCAACAAAAACATTCACTGCCTGGAAAATGTTGTCTGGGCAACCAATTATTTAAAAAAAAAAAAAAAAAAAAGTAGCAATAATAGGAGCTCTATCCTGTGAAAAAGGAAAAAGGAATAGAACAAATATTAAAAGAGGTTTTCTTTGTGTGAGAGGTGAAAAACTCCTGTCAGCACTTCTGAAATAAGTGGCCATGACTTCTTGAACCACAATGAGTAAATCCTGTGTTCAGTAAGGTAATAAAGGACCTGAAGGCACTTCTGTAGCTATCAGCATCCAGATCATGAGTAATGAGAGCTCCAAAACATCTGTCCAAGTACAATAACTGAGGATGCCATCCAGAGAGACCTAGTCAGGCTTGAACAGTGGGTCCAAGAGAACCTTGTAGAATCATAGAATTGTTAAAGTTGGAAAAGACCTCTATGATCATAAATCCAACCATCAATCCATCCTCACCATGCCCACTGAGCCATGTCCCTCCTCAGAGGTTTCCTTTCCAGGTAGGGAATGAATAGCAGAAGTCCCATGTGTGAGCCCTGTAGACCAGACTAAGAATTAAGACAATGCTGAGGCTTAATCCTCAGGTAATGCCATGTCTTAATTCACATGCCTTAGGATCCATGTGCTCTGATGCCCATCGCAAAGCAGCACTTCCTCCTGTCAAATAATGTAGAAGTTAATCCTGGGTTTAAATGCTGCTTGGCAACTGTGGAGCTATGCAATTTACCTTATGAGGTTCAACATACCCAAGTGCAAGGTCTTGCAGATGGGTGACAGTAAACCCCACTATCAATAGAAGCCAGGGGACAAAAGTATTGAGCACAGTCCTGCTGAAAGAGACTTGAGGGTACTGATGGATGGCAAGTTGGACATGAGCCAGCAACGTGTCCCAACAGCACAGAAAGCCAATTGCATCCTGGGCTGCATCAAAAGCAGCATGGCCAGCAAGTTGAGAGGTGATTCTGCCTTTCTGCTCTGTGCTGGCAAGTCCTCATTTGGAGCACTGCATCCAGATGCGGAATTCTCAGTACACGAGAGATGTGGATTTGTTGGAGCACTCCCAGAGGCGGGCCACAAAAAGACAGCACACCTCTCTTATGAGGACAGGCTGAGAGAGCTGGGGCTGTTCAGTCTGGAGAAGAGAAGGCTCTGGGGAGACCTGAGAGCAGCCTTTCATATCTAAAACAGGGCTATAAGTAAGAAGGGGACAGAAAGAAGACTTTAGCAGGGTTTGTTGTGATAGGACAAGGAGAAATATTTTCAAAGTAAAAGAGGGGAGATTTAGATTGGACATAAGGAGGATGATTTTTACGATAAGGATAGTGAGGCACTGGAACAGGTTGCCCAGAGAAGTGGTGGATGCCCCGGGCAACATTCAAGGCCAGACTGGATGGGTCTCTGAGCAACCTGATCTAGCTGTAGGTGTCCCTGTTCATTGCAGGGAAGTTGGACCAGATGACCTTTAAGTGTTCCTTCCAACTCAAAGGGTTCTATCATGATTCTATAATAATTCTATGACAATTCATGTTGCATGTTTCAAGAGCTTCCCTTCCAAAATAGCACGTTTCCTTAAATGGATGAGAAGCCATATGAAATCATATAGTGCCAGGGTTGCACTCCTTCATTTTTATCAGCACTTCAACAAACCTAACTTACACGTACCTTGCAGACATATTTTAGTCAGTACCCATTTGAGAGCAAAATAAAAATTGTTAATTAAAGACAGAAGAGCTGATAGTAAAAATTATGAAAATTGCTGTCTAAGCTCAGATTTTGTGAAGGCTTTGGAAAAAGATTTCCAGCCTGGTGTTATTACACAAGATAGTTATTCAGGATTTATGGAGGGCATCTTGACTCATACATCTATAATCTGATGCCATGATGAGAAAAGAAAGACATCACTTCTTTTTTTTCCTGGTGTTATCAAGACGAAGTGTGCCTGTGTATCATGAAGATAATGCCTAGAAAAAAGTATTTCTGGGACAAATCCAGATCACTGTCATAACCTCATGATCTGTTTGGGTTCTTACACCAGGATATCATCTGAGGTGAGATGGCAGCTGCAAAGGAAAAGAAACCTCTCTGTGACTGATAGAAAACATAATGTCTGTCCTACAAGACAGAAAATCTATCCCTGGAAAAGACACTGTCATTTTAGTTTCATGGATTTAACCACAAGTTAACCCCCATTAATTTTGCCCTCTCACCTGGCTAGCTAGGTATCATAAGAAATACTAGCTTGCTGGATGTCCCATGCACAAAGTAAACATTTCAAATAGTGTTTTCTCACGGATCCTGTCATCATCTGCCATATTTTCCTCATATTCTGTTGCTTTAACTTTTTTAGAAGGATACTGGTAAGTGCACTTCTACTCAGTAATCTGATACAATCACTACAGAATGGTCAAAATACTGAGGAATATATGATAGGTAACAATTTGCTACCACCTAGGAAGGGTCAGGGATCTAAAGAGTTTTTAAATACTTAAACAAGTCAGTAACTTAATGTAATTGAAATATAGGATTACTGAACTTTTCTGAATAAATTTAGCTCTTTCATTTTACTGCCTTCTGTCAGAGGATTCCAGGAAACACTGTTCTTTACGATTAAAGTAATATGCTACATTACGTAAAGTGTCTTGGTATTATAGGTGCTTGCACATGCTTGCATTTGAGTATATTCTTTGCACGCTTCTAATTTAGCTACAGGCAAAGGATTTGACAAAATTCCTTTTGCAGAGAAATATAATCATGAAAGCTAATCCCACAAACCTTGAGCTGGATTGCAGGATTGCAATCCGGGGGAGAAGAGCACACAGGACACAACACCAGCAACTTCTGAAATCTCTAGTTCTAACAAGTACCTACAAAATCTCCTGTGGAGATGGAGTGGAACTAGAAAATGAATGTTATTCCCTTTCTCATATCCTTTTTCACTCTGTTTCTGTATTGCAGTTGAGAGGAGTGAAATGACAGTATAACCAAACCACTTACCAACATAGCCAGGAGTTCCGCAGGCTGTGGACATCACATCTCCTTTACCCTCCATCTTAGACAATCCAAAATCACTGATCATGATTTTTGACTCTTCATCCTGGCTGTAGTAAAGCAAATTCTCGGGCTAGAAAGAAGAACAAGCAAAGTGGAGTATGAATGTGTCAGCCTAATAACAAGATTGGTCGTTGCTTATATTTAATACAAATCTTAGTTATACCATGCACTAACATCATTTTGTTCCCCTAAATCTTAAAGAGTTGCTCTTACAACCTGTATGGAGAACATCTCCAGACTCCTCCATGGTGGCTACCGGAAGAAGCTGACACCTTGAGCTTTGAGTAACTTATCTGCAGTTGTGAATTTCTCCATTGGCACCTCAAATATGAACTAAGCTTCATCTTTTACTTGGGAGGTGTGTCCAAAAAAACCATTGTTTCCAAGAGATAAAACAAGGATTCATTTGAAAGCAGGTAAATATGGTAGATCCAGGTAGTGTAACCTTATTATTATTTTTTTAAACAGCTCTAGTTGTAGTTATACAGCATTAAATTAAAAAAAAAAAAAAAAAAGAAAGAAAGAAAGAAAAAGGAAAACAGCAGGCGTTAGAGAATTTTTATATCTTCTCCATTGGAAATCAACTGTTACAAGAGAGAAAATGACTTTAAAATCAACAGAATTATTCAGTGATGTTTTAGCTACAGATGATTAGGAAAAAATGCTGCAGAACTGAGCACAGCAACTTCTTTATTCTGAAAGAAAACAAGAGTTGTTCCACAAAGCCCTGAGCCTTCACACCAAAATCAGCAGGTTGGAATGTCCAACCAATTCCCAGTTGCCAACCTGCAAATCTTCCATCTACAAGCTGTGAATACCCTACAGCAAAGCTCTTGCTACCTGCTGTGAAGAGCCTCTTCCCATATATAATATCTGGGTTTGCAAAAAGGTCCAGTATCTACTAGCACCCTGACAACCCAGCAGTAACAATTTACTTTACAATTCCACCACTTGGACCATGAGGTCTTCATCTATAAGAGTGATGGATACCCAATGTGGACTTCTTCCTTAGAAACTAGTACTACCCACATGCAACACATTTTGTCTATCAGGCTGTTATGGCTTCAGATGTGGTTTTCCAGGAAATGATGAGAAGCAGATGGGACCATGCAACATCATTAAATTCCCTGGGACACATCCAAGCTTGGATGTGTAAGGAGAAGAAATTGTATTGCAGCAGCTCTGGTATCTGTCCTCCTTTCTTCTTCACCATAAACTCCTACTCTGGGGAAAGAGGTGGATGAAGAAAAAATGGAAGCTGACATTACCTTCACCCTATTCTGGGGTTCCTGCTCAATCTCAAGTGGACATTAAAGTACTTTGTGTCTGCCTGGTTCCAGCATAATATCACACAGTGATGCCTTCATCCATGAGACATGATGACCACAAAGGATTTACAAACTAAGGGAAAGCTGTAACTGTAGCTGTGAATCAACTGGAACTGAGGCAAAAAAGGAAGCAATTCTGTTAATTAAAATAAAAATAATATAGCGTTCATAGAATCATAGAATGGTTTGGGTTGGAAAGGATCTTTAAGACCAACTAGTTCCAACCCTCTGCTATAGGCAAGGACACCTCTCTCTAGATCAAGTTGCTCAAAGCCCCATCCAGCCTAGCCTTCAAAGCTTCCAGGAGGGGGCATCCACAACCTCAATGGTTCCAGTGTCTCTCCACCCTCACAGTAAAGAATTTATTCCTAATATGTAGTCTAAATCTACCCTCTTCCAGTTTAAAGTCATTTCTCCTTGTCCTGCTGTCACTACCTGCCCTTTTAAAAGGTCCCTCTTCAGCATTCCTGATATACACGTAGAATGTCTTCTTGTTCCCCTACATGTCCCTGGCTGGATTTAATTCTATCTGGGTTTTAGCTCTCCTAACCTGATCCCTGGCTGCTTCGATAACTTCTCTCTAGTCCTCCCAGGTAACCCATTCCTGCTTCTGCTCCCTATAGACTTTCTTTTTGTGCTTAAGTAAGTTCAGGAGTTCCTTGTTGATGCATGGAGGCCTCCTGACATTCTTGCCTACCTTCCTTTTTCTCGAGATGCACTGCTTATGGGTTTGGGGGAGACAGTCCTAATACTGACCAGCTTTCTTGGGCTCCTCTTCCCTCCAGAGCTTTCTCCCATGTCACCCTGCCAAGCAGTTCCCTGAAGAGTTAGGAGTCTTGTCTCTTGAAGTCCAGAGTAGCAAACTTGCTGCTCATCCTCTTTGACACCCTAAGGGTCTTGAACTCCACCATTTCTTGGTCACTGCAGCAAAGGCTGCCCTTGAACTTCATGTTACTCACCAGCCCCTCCTCACTGGTGAGGACAAGGTCCAGCATAGCACTTTTTTTGTGGGTTCCTGTACCACTTGGACAAGGAAGTTGTCCAAGGACGAGGAAGCATTAACATTTTTATCATGATACCTTAAGTTCAATGGTTTAGGTGGCCTTTATAATGCCCTTCTGACTGACCTGCAGCCCTTTTCCAAACTTACACCATCCCTTGAGCCCTCGACTCCACATTTTTTCTTAATGCCCTCCCTGGTGCCTACATGTGGTTGGAACCTTATAAATTTCAAAATTCTGGCAGCCATTCCAGATTGCAGAACTAAACAGGAAAAACATGTTTCTGATACTGATCAGCTGCTGGTGAGGTAGAGTTGGAATTAAGAGAAAGACAACTGTTTTCTAACGATTTCTACTCACTCATCTCAGATCCCTCATTTATTCATGTTTAGCAAGACCAATAAATCCACCCATTTGAAACTTAAACCCGCTTAAAACTTATTTAAAGCAATTCCACTTTTTATAAAGTGAGCTGGTTAATTCAAGAAGCATCAACAAGATGGCTTTGTATCAAGCAGAGCTGCTTTATCCTTTCACACCTTTTGCCAATCCTGGACTTCATTGGATTTCATCTGCTGCCATCTCTTGCTAATTTCTGCTGTGTTACTGATATCAGAGACTTGGAGCACAGATCTGCTTTTCCTGACTACAGCAAGTACTATTTTGGTATCTGAATAACACATAATTGCAATAAATAATTGTAACAGATATTTCAAGGGTTGTATTTTTACAGAGTGGATTCTTTCCCAGAGTTTCATTTAGGGGATCGCAATTTGAAACTTGCACTTATCTTGATAGTTTGAAACCAAAAAAAGCCTTATTATGTTCCTATTTTAGCCATCATGGTATGTTTGTGCTAATAGATATTTCACAGCAGGTGTTCCTCATATACCATGTTTTATGAGTCATTTTAACAACAGAAAAGCTACTGACAAACACTTGCAAACAAGAAGACAGAAAAAGAGCTGGTCTTTGCCCCAAAATATTGCTGAAGAAGGATATTTGTTTCATTTAAATTCATCATATCCTTCAATGAACTACTGAAGCAATTTGTAGATTAATCTACTTTCCAATTACAATATGTCATGTTTTATTATGGGAACGTTTTATGGGAACAGCCCTCACACAGCAAAAAGATTCACACTGGGAGTAAATAATGCATTAAATTTAAAATTGCACTCAAAATTAAAACTATACACAAACATCTTTGTGGCTCATGACTCCTCTGATGTTCATTCAGTCTTTATATATAATTTGACCTATTTTGCCAAAATCCAGTATATGTGAGGACAGCTCAGTGCTACAGCATCAGCACTCAAAGCCACTCCTGTTTCTGGCATCCTTCCAAAAATTAAACCAAAAATGTTGTCACCAATTCTTTAGTTTAATCTTTAGCTTTATTTTGACATTTGTATTTTTTTTTTTTCTAATGTCTCCTACTGATTTATTATTTAAGATGACTAAAGACAGAATGGTTTAGCTGTATACTATGAAATCCAGGCTTTTCTGCTTGTCCTAATGACATTTTAAAATATGAAAACAATTTAGAAATAATGCTTGCTTGTTTTCACTGTAATTGTGGTGGTGCTGTGTTGGTTTCGTTGTTTTTGTTGTTGCTGTTGTTTTGGTGTTGTTTTTTTTTTTAAAAAACCAGAAAAGCTGAGGGCTTCTAATATAATAACATGGTGCAGTTGAAAGGATGGCTATCTTAAAATCACATTGTCACATGGTGTTCCTTAGAAGAATTCTTGCTGTGGAAAAGATCTCCAGAAACACTGGACTAAATAGCAGGATGGGAAATCATTCAACTCTCCCATACAGTTTATTTCTACTAATAATCTTTAAGTAAGAGTAAATATAGCACAGCAAACCTGCAAGATAATGTGCAACAGTAAGCACTTACATCCCAGCTGAGATGAGTTTTTTGTCTTAATGTAATGTTCTAGACTTTAATGAATGACTTCTTTTCCCAAATCATACATGCAAAACACCTGTTGACTCTAACAGCATTGACTGCAAGAATTCTTATTAAAATCAATTGCAGTTGAAGGATATGTAACCTTCAGAGCATCCTTCTTATGGTAAATCCTTACAGAAACATCCATCCACAGGGGAGGCTGGACTTGCATGCATTACACTTGCATAATTACACAACCTTCATTAACACTGATTGGAAGACTAGGTCAAGTTGTGGTCATACCTTGAGGTCTCTATGGACAATGCCCATTCGGTGCAGGTAGTAGACAGCATCCAGGACCTGTCGGATCAGGGTGCTGGCATCCTTCTCAGTGTAGAACCCTTTCTCAACAATACGATCAAAAAGCTCTCCCCCAGACACCCTAGAAAACACAATGGCATGTAGAAGCATGAGGATGTGCTTTGTAACGTGCTTTATAACTCCCTCAAGAATGGTCATGGACATGCTATAGCCACAGACAGTCCAAACGCACGTCTGGAGCTCAGGAGGTTCCTCCATTGTCCCAACAAGGATTTGCTTCCTCAAAATCCAAGGGAGGGTTCCTATCCCAGAGACTAGAGGAATAGCAAAGGGAAAAAAAGGAGAGAAGAGGATAGGGGAGCTCCAGAGGGAAGGGTGAAGAAGTAGTATTGGTGAATTCAGCTTGTCCTTGCCTGCTGGTGCCCACTGAACACTGTAAGGCTTCTCTCTAGCACGAGCCCTTGGAAGTCATGTTTTGAATTGCAGAACGTGGCCTGGCTTTTGTCCTTTTTATCCATAGGTGTGTGAAATGTATTCTGTATCACTACCAGTATCTATAGAGCATTAGCAAATTAGCATTTATCCATACATAGAATCATAGGCTAATGGAATGTCCTGAGTAGGAAGAGACACACAGGAATCATTGAGTCCAACTCCTGGCTCCACACAGCACCAACCTAAATTCAAATCCTACATCTTGAGAGCATTGTGCAAATGCTCCCAGAGCTCAGGTAGCTTAGGGCCATGCCCACTGCCCTGGGCATCCTGTTCCATGCCCACTGCCATCGGAGCAGGACCGTCCCTTCCCTCACCTGGTGGCAGTGCTGGGCCTGGTGCACCCCAGGGTATGGTTGGTCTTTTACATCCAGAGCACACTGCAGTCTCAGATTCAGTTTGCCATCAGCCAGAAGCCTCAGATCCCTTTCTGTGGGGCTGCTCTCCAGTATCTCATCCTCCAGGTTGTACATATACCCGGAGTTGCCCCAGATGTAGCATCCAGCACTTGCTCTTGTTGAACTTCATGTGATTGGCCATTACCCAGCCCTCTAATTTGTCAAGATCTCTCTGCAAGACCCATAGAATACATGTATGTTCATTTATCAGCAGCCACAAATCCTTTAGTCAAATGAGTCTTACTTGAGCACAGTCTCTGTCTGGCACTGATAGCAGGCAGTTATTGATGAAGGAGCACAGATTACGAGCACAATTAATCACCAGATGACATAGATGGGAAAAGGATTCCACTACTCAAAGAGGAAAGAAAATAAAACCTTGGCATCCCACTATTTAATGTCTTCTATATTATGCTTTTTCTCTGCCCTGCTAGAAACAACACGTTCTGAGCCCAATCTTAAATAAAGAATGGACACATTAAAATTCCCTAGAGGGATATTGGGGGAAACAAAAGAGGAAAGAAATGTCTGAGTAATTGAAATAATAAAACTGTCAGCAAAAAAACTGCCCTACGAGGGTAAATAAAATATTTCCATTTTAACAAGCAAAACCTATTAAAAATAAAATGAATGTGATGTGTTTTTTCAGCAAGTTGCACCACTTAGCATATCATAAATAGCACTGTAAAACTTTCTTTAAAAACAAACCCAATAAAGGAAAGTAATAAATGATTACAGTCATTAAATACATATGGACTGGGAGTTTGCCATTATACAAATACTAGGTAATTCAGCCACAGCCACTCCAGGCAATAATCAGCTTGAATAATGCCATGAAGTCACTTCCTAGGGAAGTTTGGAGCCTGAATGGAGGAGAAAGTTACCACTAAAAATGACCAAGTTCAACTTCTAAATTGAAAAACAATCTGGAAAGAAAAAAAAAAACAACAATTAACAACAGATAACCCCCCTATTAAGAACTAGGCAAACAAACCAAATAGCCTGCTAAAATACTGACATTAAACTGAAGTTCTGCTGGAAAGGTGAAGTTCCCCACAACTGAAGTTCCCCCAGGAGACCCATGGCATCTCCAGTGGGGCTTGCAGAGAAGGGCCAATGTAGCCATGCCAGGCTGACAGTGGAGCTAGGAAAGCCCTAGTATCATACCAAATTGGGGAGCCCACGAGTCTCAGCAGAACAGGGAAAGAGGCACTGCAAGTGGAGGATGCCTCAAGTGCCATCACACGACAGACTGCTCTGAGAGCACACCCTGACCCCACATGGGAAACCTTGAATCAGAAGCCTATCTTACCTAGTTTTATAGAGTCACTGAGGCTGGAAAAGACCACTGAAATCGTCTAGGCCAAACATCAACCCACCCCCCCTATGCCCACTAAATCATGTCCCTCAGTGCCATATTTACCCTCTTTCTAAACACCTGCAGGGAAGGTGATTCCACCACCTCCCTGGGTTTCTCACAAAAGGAGTTGTACCACGTGTATATAGACATGTATATACCTATATAGATGCACAGGATGTTGCTACAAGCCCCTCTTAGCCCTACACTCCTTGCATACCCCATAGCAACATGATGGGTCTTGCCACAGGAGAACAATCACAATCTCTACCTCACCATTCAGAGAAGGCAAATAGTGTTACTGAATCTGGCTCCTATTAGCTGGCTGTCTTTTTATATTTCCCCCTCAGCTCTTTTGTTTCCCATGGATTGACTGCACTGAAAATTGGCCCACGCAGTAATTAATACGACTGAACACAGCACATATCCCAGTGAAAATGCCATGCCTGCTGTCTTGCAATTTGAAAGAGCTGCTTTAGTAGGTACTGATTTACTTTAGGTGCATTCCTGCTCAACGAATCTCTTTCCACATTCAGAGAGTACTTCTGTACACATTTTTCCATTAAAATGACCAAATCCCCCATCATTCCAGCCCCTTCTCCCTTCCCCTCATGCCTCATTCTTTAATCAAAAGCTTTTCCTAGTAAAATTTAGCTCAGTGGATCTACTGTACCCGGGCTCAATCTGTTTATAATTTTCTTTAAGCACGCGGAAAATATTTTCAACCTCTTAAACGATGCACTGCAAACCAGAATGTAATCCAATCTATGATACTATGATGACTCGATGAACCACTGGAGAGCTTGCTTATCCAGAGTGTTAACAGCACCCCAGGTACACACAGTGAATCGAGGGACTCATGCTCCCATTTACTTGTGTACTATGCTATGGTGCATTGGATTTGCATTATGTTTGCACTCACCTATAAAGTCACCCTTGATGTGGACAAGTATCATGGTTGGAGCTCACCTCTCAGGGATGCTCTGCACCCAGAGCTATGGGTGCTATTTTCCACATGGAGCTTTTGTGCATAGGGCTATCCTTCAAAATCAAGTTAACTCAGTCATGCCACTGGGAATGCTGCTCCCTGCATGATGCCTAAGGACTACTATATCAAGAGCAAGCCAGCAAGAATCAGCTCTAGGAGAGCATCTGGGTTCTTAGCTCATGGTGGAATTGTGTCCATTAGTCTAAAGCTGGTCTAGATCCCAACCCCCTCTGTCTCATCAAAGCTATTCAGTTTCCAGGTGGTTCCCTACCAAAGTACATGAAGTTCACCTGGCGCTTCACAACAGCTCAAGCTGTGATCTAGCCTCTGGTGGACAAGTCATTGAAGCACCACCTGGGCTAGAAGAACTTGTGCAGAAAGGCAAAGATATTCCTAGGGACTCACAGGCATAGTTTATAAATGCAGATCAGGGATGTGAATGTAAGAAGGATGATCTCTGAATTTAGAAGCAAGAGGGATCTGAGCTCGATATGAAAGATAAGTAAAATACGAGCATTACCCAACAACAGTGAATAGCTTACTGGTCAGAAGTTAAACATTCACAGCTTCCTACAATATAAGTCAGGAAAAGCACATACCTCAGCCCCTGGGCATGAAGCTGGGAGTGTGAGGTGAGATAAGAAAGAGCGAAGGGAATGTTTCTAGGAAGTTCTGCCTTTGAGTATTAGTTTTCTCTAATGAAGGAATTCTTATTAATACAAATATTTCCATTTTAAAAAATTATTTTGCTTTTAATGGAGGGGTTTTCTGTTTGACTTTAAACTTCCTCTGCATTGTGAAAATGCATGAGAACCAGAAAGCAAACTTTTCTATTTCACCATTTGAAAGGAAGGAGAAATTGGCTGCCCTCATCTCATTGTTCAAACGATGTAATGCATAAAAAGAAAATGGGTAAACAGATTGATAGATTTTAGACCCAGGAAGGAACATTATGGTTATTCAATCTGACCTCTTGCAAATCTAAGTATGTAATTAAAATTCTCCTTGAGGCCATTTCCTATGGTGTTAATCAGTCAAGGGCATATATTACTACAGAAATACTCTGTCCTGCAGAAACTTGCATTATTCAATATATATCTCAGAAAACTGCACCAGCTTTCACATTTGCAGCACATCATAAAATTCAGCTTGACTGACGCATGGACTTTTCCTAAGTGTAGCTTCAAACCATTCCCCTTAAAATCTAATAGTAACATAAATGTATGCTCTAAGGCCACCAAAGAAAGGATGTAGGATTAGTTTTAGCTTATTTTTCTAGAATATTCTTGTGTGCACATGGTAGAAAGGGTTGGATGAGTGCTGGCATGCTCTCCTTTGACAGCACTATTCAAAACAACATTGCTGTGGAGTTTATTCTGGAGGGCAGACGCTTCAGCTCTTCATCACTCCTACAGTGGTGGCTGTAGCAGAGTAGTGCCTGTACCAACACTTGCCCATATATTTTCCCTGCACTGTTCAGGATATGACCCAGCACATCATTGCATCCAACAGTGCCTAGCAGCAATCACCTGGGAACACTGGTGGGGAGCAGTGGCACACGGTTCTCCCTACCCTTAGATTCTTTTGCAGAAAACTTTGGGTAGAAGTGATTTGTGAGCTTTCAGAATCAAACTGTTCAAAATAATAATGTTTCTTCTTTTTTCTTTTCTTTTTTTTTTTTGGTGCATTAAAAGTGCTATATGACACTTGCTGAGCAGCAGTAGTAAGGTCGTACTTTGGAGAACAGACTTCTGTTTCCACTGGGGCAAGTCTGTAAGTCCCTGGAAAGCTCAGCTCAGATTTGCTTAGGGCTGTAGTGTTGTTTGGCAGTTAAAATCTTTGGAGCCAAGATTTTCCTTCATAGAATCCCTACTTTGGAGCTC